GAATTTTACAAGAATGTCAAAAAGTTATTTCGAACTATTAATAAATATGATGTGGCCAAAAATAGGTAAGAAAGATACAAACATGAGAAACGCATTACTACCAATCTCAATAAGATTAGCAATCGTTCTTTGGTTTTTGGCGACTGGTAACTCCTGTACTAGTTTAATGTATTTATTCAGGGTGCACTACTCTCCCAGTTGTCTCATAGTTCCAGAAATATGCCAAACTTTAATAGATATATTTATATATATATATATATATATATTAATATATATATATATATATATATATATATATATATATATATATAATATATTTTAATGACACAATCTGAAAGAATAAACACCTAAGACAAGACACAAAACAAGAACCTATAAAGCAGCAATTAGACCTATATTAACATACACGGCGGAGACAAGACCTGACATATCTAAAACGAGACGACTATTAGAAACAACAGGAAGTCAGGAATATCAGGAAGTCTGTTGGATAGGGAGAGAAGCAAAAACATAAGAAGAGCATGCAATATAGAAGACATAAATGGATGGGTGACAAAACGGAAACAGGAGTGGAATGAACACATTAGTAGAATGACAGAGGATAGATTAGTACGAATAGCATAAGATAAGTATCCAAATGGACGAACAAGTATTGGCAGACTAAGAAAAAAATGGTGCGATAATTTAAACAACTTATGGTGCTAATGTGATGAACCGATTGGAGGCTTTTGAAATGTGAGTATTTAAAAGACTACTTAAAATTCCCTGGACAGATCACACAACAAATGTCGAAGTATTAAAATGAATGGGCAGAGAACGAGAATTGCTGTCAATAATAAAAAGAAAAACTGCTTATCTGGGTCATATATTTCGAAATTCCAAGTACCAGTTCTTAAAGCTTATTATGGAAGGGAAGATAAAAGGAAAACGAGGCATCGGAAGAAAGAAATACTAAATTTTTTTTTTGTATGTTTTGACAAAACCAAATTAAATTTCTACAGAGTAGCCGAGCAACATGCAACATTTTTCACGGCAACGTTCAACTTTATCGGCAACGCATCAGCCACTAACTGCAATAGTGTTCAAATCTTAGTGTTATAAAAGTTGTCTGCGGCAACCAAAAAAGAAGAATCATGACAAGCAGATGTGAACGGTCGACGGATGTTCATGTTCATATGTTCATGAATAAAGTTCTCCTAATTAAAAATGTCTTTTAATTAAAATACATAACACTCAGCAATATTTCGACCACATGGGGTATAAGTAAGTAGGGCTAAGTATCTTTTCATTAGATTGCTGCAATATTGCCAGCAACATACCGAATATAATATATTTTCGGCAAGATATTGTTTTAAAAACTAGCCCGTCTAAATGTACATTAAGAGGCTCTCAATAACGATTAAGTGTACACGTACACCTACATTGGAACCGTATTTCTCCCGATCCGATATCGGGCGATGTCGGCCGACGTCGGATTGAAAACAAACTCAAGGTATTAAATCATAGTGCCTATACAGCTTCCATGACGAAATAGGCACTCTGATTCTGATTTAATACCTTGAGTTTGTTTTTAATCCGACGACGACCGACGTCGCCAGATATCAAATCAGGAGAAATACGGTTCCAATGTAGGTGTACAGTGTACACTAAGTATCGAGGTCAGTGGCGGCCAGCCCTAAAGGGCCACGGGACACTGGCTCTGAAAAATATATTGATCGGAAACTATATTGATCACTAAAAATACTTTTGATTTTACTTTGCTTTTTTTTACTATAAATGCATTATCTACATACATTATTTATCATTGCTTAATTTAATCTCCACGAAAAAACAAATAATTCAAGCGATTTGACTACCCGAGCCCATTTCAGTATGGCTCGAGATTTGACTTCAAATGCATAGGAAGCGGTTAGACGCGGTAAACTTACGGATGGTGTATCGATACGAAATATGGAATGTTTCGGCAGACAAACTTCGGCCCATAGAGAAATAACAAATAAGTGCCCGTGTGTTTTAGAATGTGACTGATAGTATATTGGAATTATTTTCGCTTATATATTTATAACATTTTAGTTACGTTTGAAGTGTGCAATTACGAGAAATCAAAGTGTTTTCACTGTTTAAATTTTACTGTTTAGTGTTGAAGAAATATGATCAAAATGAGCTATTTGTTAGTAAAAACTCACTCGTTTGAAGAAAAAATTCAAATCAAGGGACTTGGTAAACCACTTCCAGATTAGAATATAAAAACTACGCAGAAATCTTCAACTTCTAGCTCTTCAAATTTTTTGAGTATGTTTTGTTTAAGAGCATGGGCAAGACATGGTACTCACTGATTAGTACGGATGGTACACTCATTGATTTAGTGCGTATTTATGAGAAAATAAAAACTCATGAAAATAGCAAGGAACATATAAATAATATTTTTAGTTTCTATATGCTCGGAAAATCAAATATAATGACACAGTTAAGTTCGAACTATATTATTAATATATTCGAATAATAGATTTTCGTTCTCAATTAGATATAGATTTAAAGGATCATTTTAATAAAACAACAATATTTAAAGGAACCTCTAAAATTATAACAAATTAACTATTGGACTGTATGCTTGGCGTTTACCATGATGAAAAGAAATTAACAAATCAAATTATGTAGCTGTAATTGCCAATAAAAGTACATGTGTCGCTACCAAATTTCAGTTACCTAGTCATTATATTAGGATATATTGCCTCAAATAAGCCAGTAGAAAGATTTTGGAAATTTGTAAATCCTCCCGGACATAATGCCATTCCGATAGCAAATTAAATTTTAAATGGGTTGATGTAGAGCTGCCGACGAGTTAACATCGTGAGCGTTCAGCATCGAATATATCGTTTAAAAACTGGTGGAGTGTGCCTGATGTGGTTTTTGTAGAAGAACAATTAATACCTTTTTATTAAAAAGTGATTTGAAACATTATTGTATAAAAATAGTTAACACAAATAATTTGCCGGCCCTATAGGCCAGGCATTGAGTTCTTTAAAAATTAAATTGTTCAGTTAATACCAACAATTGACGTGTAGCTTATATGTACATGAGTAGCACAGGAAATACCATCAAACCAACTGTTCCTTCCACAACAATGTCACAACAAGATTCATCAATCCGCAACAAACAAGATACTTCAAACAACAACACTTCTACAATGTCATATGTAACAGCAGCAATCATACTCCATGCCGAAGACAGCCTCAAATTATTTGATTATGCAAAAGCGATTGGTGATATTATCGAACCCAGGAACATCTGTTTCGCCTCCAGAATCTCCAACAACAGGGTCTGTATATATTTAACTAATAATAAAAACATAGTAGATGAACTTGTAAAATCTCATCCTACCATACAAATCGGCTCCCTAACTTTAAACATACGTAAACTCGTTTCTCCTACAAAGAGAATCTTAATATCCAATGTCTCACCGTGTATCCCACATGAAATTATCGAAACCGCTGTTAAAAGCCTAGGTCTAAAAATTGCTTCCCCAGTATCATTTCTTAAAGCAGGTATTCCGGGGAGGAATTCTCACATATCCTTAACTTTAGAAGACAAGTTTATGTATTTCCGCCCTCCGAAACTTTTGAGCTCCAAACCTCCCTTGTGCCCTCTTTCGAAGATAATGAAAACCGCATCTTCCTTTCTACTGACAAAATGGAATGTTTCGTTTGTAAAAGATCAGGGCATGTCGCTTCAAATTGCACAAATCCGCCAGAAAGTATCTCTTCTGACCAGACAATACCTTCATCTCCTTTAAGAGCCGAATCCACGTCTACTGAAAAAAAGCCCAGAAACCAACAGTGTTCCTTTCACAATAACAGAGACATCTCCTCCAGTCAATAATATACCACTTACGTCGTCAAATAACAACTCCTCATTAGAACAACCAAGTCAACATATTACAGATACACAAACACACTATAAATGCACACACTCAGAACTTTCATCTCCTAGCGACAGAACTAGTATAACTGAAGAATCCACTCATAGTGAACAAACTAATATTTATGCCGGGTTTTCCAAACCACAAAGCAAGAAAAAACTTAAACGGTCAAATTGTGACTCAACCCTATCCGAAATAGGAAAAACAATTAATACGCGAACTTTATAAAGAAACCCCACAAATATTCATAATCACTGCAGATAACATAATTTCTCTTCTTAAAAATTGTCACGGTAGTAGCGATCCATACACAGAAGAATTAAAATTTACACCGGACATCAAATCACTTATTTGTACGTTATATCAAATCTATCCCAACCTTAATGAAAAATCAACCAAAAATAGACTAAGTCGTCTTATAAAAAAATTTAAGGACAAAACCGAACTCTTAATGGGTGATTCTACAAAATTACCCAATCTTGACTTCTCACACGAAACAACTGACGATGAGTACATCTCTGATACATCTCAAAACTCACAGACATCTCAAAACTCACATCTCAAAAGTCCTCTCATTAACAAATTCATAATTATTCAATTGAACTGCGATAGATTCTATCCTCGCCTCGCCGATGAACAACAATTTTCGCATCAACTGAAATTTTTCACCGTAAACTTCACCTAAACACTGCATTAGAAGCTGTTGCTATAACGGCATGGTGTCCAGAACAAATCACAATATGTAGCTTATATATTCCTCCTAATTATACATTGACAAGCACTGAATTAGAAAACCTAATATCTCAAATTTCTGACACATTTATTATTATTTCTTGTTATATTGCTCTAAAAATATCTTTTATTGTTCTGGCCCCTAAAGATCTTCAACTCTTTAAGCATTATGGCTATAAAATTAAAATACGATTAATTTACCGATCAAATAAAAGTCGCTTCGTGTGAAAGGATACTTAGTCAACTGTCCAGGCGGTGTTGACGTCTGCTGAACTGAACGTACCCAACGAAACGCAGATTATGCAGAACACAAACTACATTATTTATCGTTCTATGCTATGATATGTATAACTTGGGAAATTCAAAACAACTTAACCCTATTTTTGTATATTCAAATAAAATATGAAAAACATTCTAGAAAGTTGGGTAAATAACACAAATATTTTGCCGTCCATAATTTCATGTACAGTTTTTTTAGCTTGTCCATCCAAGTTCCAATGGTGCGGATAATCATGAAGGAATTAGCAATTTAATTTATTTAGCTGGAATTATTCAAAATCATTTAGATCCCTTGGAATTAGAAGTTGCTTCGAAACTATGTTCTTCTATTTATATAGATTTATTCAAAAATGATTTTACTGTTTTAAAGACACTGCTAACCAGCAAGCATCTAAAGATAAATTCATATACATGTAATATCCGAAAACAGTCATTGTGGAGAGCAATATGGTTAAATGGGCTAAAAAATTTTCAAATACTATCTTCAAAGTCAGTTAATCGGGAAGTTAGTGAATATTTAGAGATATTATTATGGTTTATTCAATTTATTTTGGATAATATTGATATCACTGACTTGAATTCTTTATACTTATTGAGGACATTGCATTTAATTCTTAACAGAACTGATTGTTTATCATCCCCGATTAGTTTACAAATAATTAACTGTATGAGTAGAGTTGCAATTTCTCCCTTAATTGGATTTAGACAGCTAGCTGAAAATATTTCTACAATTGCTATGAGATATGTGGGTAAGTCATATTCTGTAATTTTAAATATTGAGTTGGTTTTATCTTTTTATTATTGGAGGATGAAAGTAGAACATAAGCAATTATATTAGTTCAATCAAAACCAGCAAATTCTTAGCAATACAAATAAGATATGAATATCAGCATTTAGCTAGTAGTAGTATCACTGAATAAAAAATAGGTACACGTTAGAAGTGAGACCTAAACCCGCTCACTCAAAGAAAGAAACAAAAATTGAATTACTTACTTGAGAAAATAAGCTAGTAATTATACATAAAAAACAAGTAGTGATAGTATGAGACATCTGATATAACAAATAATTAAGTAAATAGCTAAAATACTACAAGAACTTACAAAAATTAAACAAACATTTTTATTCAATATATGCATAGGTATATAATAATACTAGTCACAATAAATCAGATAATAAAATTAATAATTTGTGGTATAAAAAAGAAACTAAGTTCAGGTTTGATGAAGTCTCAAATTATTTGTTAACATTTGGAGTTTGCCATAACTTTAATGCACATCTTTAATAATTTGTTCTAATTTGACCATGGACGTATAAATAAAGATTAAAGATAAAGATTAAAGTTAAAGATAGAATAAAGATATCTTTATTTATAAGTCCATAAATTTGACATTTTCTCCCCTTTTTTTTTTTAATGAGCCTTATTAAGTCCCCTTGACATTGGTGATTAACACAGTAAGATTCTCTCTATCATGATTTAGCATTCTTCAACAACGAGGCTTGTTGTCTATCAATTCTTACAATGAAGATAGTATGGATTTCACACAGGAAACAATATGGAGTTTATAATGTAATAGAACCTCTGTAAGTCAAACATCAAGGGAGTTGTCAAAAAAATCAAGTTATAGAAGTTTCTACTTATGGAGGATTTCAATTTAGTCAGATTTGGGTCGACATATAATAGTCATAGTAGTTACATTTTGCCAAGCCTAATACTCATTCTCATGGTTTGCAATACATCTATAGTAGAATTCTTTTTTTCTTCCATTATTATCCATTATGTTCCCAAAAACTTTTTTTCTATATAATGACTTGAAGTTTTTAATGATACATTAATCCATAGTCTGTATTTTTGATATGGTATAGGCGGGCAGATATTGGATATATATTAAGTCATCCTTGCTTTTGTATTTGCTTCCCATTTCAAAGGTAGTGATTACATCTTGAAAAACAAGGTATTTTATGTTTATTGATCACTAATATCAGATAAGACATTTAAAAAACAGTCCCATTTCCTCAGCATTGAAGATATTGTCAGGTTCGTAACAAATCTTGCAATTCACTTTACCATTTGGTACATGTTTCAATGTTACTTGCACTTTCTCCACAAACTTATTTGAAAGCAAGTTCATGTCTTCTTTTGAACTTTTCTAGCCATCCATTACTGGCCCCTGAAATTGGCCGCTCCCAATGATTTAGAGAATATTTAGGCTCTTTTGTATAACAGTAATCCACTAACACTGATATCTTAGCTCCAACATTGCTCAAACCATTTAAGTAAGCACTCCTCCAAGCCCTGATATCCTGCAATTAATCATCTTTTTCAAGATAAATTTTAACTGTTTTGAATTTGAGTTGACAGTACTCATTGGTAGACCAAATTGTGCAGCAACATCTTTTTTCTTTTGGCAGCTCTTCACAGCTTCAAGCACTTCAGCGAGACTCAAAGTTTTCAGATTAAATTTCACAGTATTCATTGTTTTACAACTCTATTTGTGAACTTTTATACAAATTGATATGTGTTGTGGTAGAACCAAACTACTTCTGACAATTTTTTATCCAACTACAAATGACTTGCTTCATTAAAGTTCAAATTATAGTAAGCAAGCAAGTACATGTTAATGTGAGTAATAAATTTCTTGAGTGTTAATCCTATTTATTGTATACTCCTAAATCATTTTCTAAGAAACAATGGTGTACTTACATTGTCAGCAAATTCTTAAAATCGATAACTCATTTTTGATCGAACTATACAGGTAATAACTTTCAAATAATGGGGTTGTAAAGGTTGTAAAATAAGACATAGAAGGGAAATATGTACCAAAATGGCTTGCAGGGATTCATTGATTATTTCAACTAATAGAAGGTTAAAATGTTGAGTAATAGGGCTTGAAGGGAAGGGACCAAAACATTTGTTTAAGTTTTGGAGGTTTTCAACTTATTCAGGTTTAACTTAAAGAGGTTCTACTGTATATGATTTTATGCAGAAACTGGCATCAGCTAAAACCAAAAATGTTTGTCAATGGACCTATTCCTAGATTTATCAAAGGCTTTTGTCCTCTGGGAATAGTGAATCCAATCAAAAGTTAGAGTAATAACACTGAGGTGGATTGCTCTATATTTGTCAGAGAAAAATATTTCATTTAAACAGTTATTTTTGTGAGAAGAAATATTGTGAGAATATCTTTGAAATGGGAATCTGCTCACTGAATATTGGAATATTAGTTTGCTAATTGCCAACTTATAGGAAACAGGAAACCAATAAATAGGATAATTAATTGCAAATATTCTTAATTTATTATTTTAGTCGTAAACATGATGCTTTCAAGGTATTCAGGATAAAATGTTGAAAATAGCAAATGTTGAAAACATATTCAGCTCAAGCATATCCAAATTTTAGTTATATATTTCCTAGAGATAGCTACAACTTCAGTTATTTTTGTATAAATCCCAACTGAAGAAACTGTACTTATTTCATTAACAAATATCATTTTTGTAGAACCTACAAAATTAAATATAATCTGTGATATTAGTTTATTACCTATCAGAGGAATTAAAACAGAAGATGTAGTAGAATTGCTTACAGACGATTTTGTGAAATGGAATACAAAAAATATTATTCAAAAGGTTTTACTGATGTTTTCAACTAACATAGAAAGTAAAGATGGTGGTTTTTTGTATGAGAAGCTTTTGATATGTACTTTTGAGGAATGGATAACAGATGTTTGGCCCCTTTTATTTCCAAAATTGCAAAAAATTGAGTCTGAAGGGTAAGAATATAGTATAATTAATACTTGATACATTCTTAAAAATATTATTTTAGTTTTATTGCACATTTTACTAATCTTGTATTCAACTTTTGTCACTTGATTGTTGTACATGTTTTGATCTTTCCATGTTTTTGAGGATAAAACATTCACAACTAGGAACAAGAAGTAGCTAGAAAGAGAGTATAACATCAAAAGGAGAGACAACAAAAGTGTATAGAAGAAAATGAGAAACGAGGAAAATACGATTTAAAAATAAAAGAGATAAAGAAAAACAGGTCAAAAAACAATACAGAAGATTATATAGAGATAGGAGACAACTAACAAAAGAATTGCCGAAGAACTGCTTCCCAACTAAAACGCTTCGCACAGGCATCCAGTTGGTTGTAAAATGAAGGGATCAAACATCGCAGCATTTAAAGCAACAAAATATGTATTTTAGTTATATTGATAGTTATATATATATATATATATATATATATATATATAATATATATTATATATATATATATATATATAAACTCGTGTACAAAATATCGAATATTTTGGAATTTTCCAATTATTTTTTGTAGTCACTATTATTTCAAAATATTTTTAGATTACTGGTATTACTTATAATATAGTAGGCTAATGTACTCAATAAGTTTGAAATATTTTGACATTTATTCAGCGTTTAGTGTCAGTCGTGCATTCCATCATAAAATCTATCAAATAAAAAAATCTAACATTAAAAACCTTCACGTAAAGGCAAAACCATAGTAATTCGATTATTTTTAGTTTAACTTATTAAGTTTAATTAAATATTGTTTTAATTTAACTAAGTTGAAAGCAAGTATGCCACCAATTCTACACTGCAATAAAGCCCAGGTAGCACAGATTGTAATGTTGAACGAGGAAGGATATACACAAAAAGATATCGCACGACATCTCTTGAGAACTCAATATACACTTTCAAATACTTTGAATAGGTACCACCATACAGGAAATTTTGTACTAAAGCCTGGTCAAGGATGCAAAAGGTGCACCTTTTGCATCCTTGCACGATTTTACACGAAATCGCTCAGTGACATCGATGTACCTCAGAAATGAGCTACTAAATGTTAGACAAGTTAATGTGAGTTCAAAAACAGCTAGACGAAGATTAAAAGAAGCAAACTTAAAGCCTAGACGCCCTGCCAAAGTTACACGTGTTCTCCTAAACCATAAAGCTCGTCGTTTAAAATTTGCAAGTACAAATATTCAGTGGAATATCGACAACTGGAAAAACGTTCTTTTCACTGATGAGACCATAATCCTATTATGGACGCCAGATGGTCAAAACCACGTCTGAAGAAGAGTTGGAGAACGATTTGTCATCTGCAATCTCGCCCATACCGTTAGTTTTGGAGGTGATGGCATAGTGCTCTGGGGAGGTATTACATTAGAGGGACGCGCCGCATTTGTGGAAGTGACTGGACAGATGACTAGTGACACTTGCGTTCGAAATATCCCGCAAGATCATGTTTTGCCATATGTTGGTTACATTGGATACGACAGATTCATGTTAATGCACGATAATGCTGGACCACATGCCGCTGCCATAGTGAGTAATTATCTTGATGAGGTCCAAATTCGAAGATTGGATTGGGCACCATTTTAGCCTGGATTTAAATCCAATGGAGCACATGTGGTATCAGCTAAAACGCCGCATATGACAAATAAATCCCGTTCCAAATACGATAGAGCAGCTTCGGCTTGCTGCACAGGATGAATTGAAAGCAATTCCCCATGGATATGTCCAAAGTTTACAGGAAAGCATGCCGATAAGGATGCAAGCAGTAATAAAAGCTAGAGGGACGAATACTCATTACTGATGTTTCAATTAAAAAGACTTAAATTGCAATTTAAATTAGCATTTAAGTTTTATGTAAAATACCCTTATTTATCTAACATTAAATATTTTTTTTTCGCAATTTTCTCCGCATAAAAACTTCTTCATTAAAAATTGCTAAAATAAAATTTTTTTCACAATAAACGATGTAATTGACCAGAATTTATTTTCAAAAAAAAATAGAAAAGTCCAAAATATTCAATATTGTTGTTGAGTGTATATATTAAAGCGTTCTACAATATATGTTACCGCGACTATATAACTAAAACTAATAATTTATACGAATTATTATTTATACGTATTATATAATTATCTCAAAAGTACGCCTGTCGGAGTCTTAACCATTTACCGCATTTTTGTTTTGTGTAAAAAATAAATTCTCAAATAAGAATTTCAATTCTATTTTCACTTAAAAATATTGAAAAAATCTAGCTATGCCTTTGACAAAAAAAAATTTTTTGTTGCCAAATATGGAACATCATTCAATCATATAATATTAAAGTCAAACTAGTTTGAAGCTACAGTATACACTATGCAGTATGAAACTTCAAATAACAGTTTCTTTCTTTATTAAGACACAAGGATATTGTGCATTTTGTGCACATTATATTTGTTTTCCCTGTACAGTCTGGAAATTTGCATCTTGAACTAGTGCTCTCATCCCAATAGGGAAAATAATCAAACTCATCCTTACGGATGTCTTCTTGGGGTATTTCTTTAGTGGGTCCCTTTTTTCGTTTGTATTGAAGGCTAATACTTGACGGTGTTCGTACTTTGTTCTGTTTAGTTGGTTTTCCCGCTTTGCATAGAGCATCGGCTATTGCCAGTTTGATATCCAAATGGGTAAATCAAATTTCTTCGCTATTCTGGCTAACAACCAACAGTTCACGGCTGTCATATCAATTAAATGAAAAAATATTTGTAAATAATATTTCTTCGACCTGATTTTTATATGATAAAATATTAACATGGAATCAAGGAGATCTACACCTGCCATGTAGTTGTTGTAGATAAGGACACTGATATGACAAGGTATCATTTTATGTGTACTTTCTTGAAAACTCTTTTTCTCCCTTTTATTCACTTCCAGCATATGTTGACATTATAGTAACAATTTTATTATCAAACCAGGTCACTAGACTGACGTTCACATTGTCTATATTGGCTTTTTTCTCTACCATATGACCTCTGCCGCTTTTCCTCATTTATTTCTAACTGGCATCACAACTTCAGGAATACGATTTAGTCTTATTGTTCCCAAAGATAAAGTGTCCTCTTTGGTCAGATATATTATAAGAGGTGCTGGTGAACCAATTGTCAAAAACCAGCTTGTAATGTTGATGTTTTGATATCGAATCTGCTAATTTGAAAACCACGTTGCTTGTCACACTAAGATTTGGTACTCCTGGAGGTACAATGTTACTTTGGGAACCAGCAAACAAAGCAAAGTCATGAATCCCGAAATACCACTCAGTACAAAGTTTTTGAAGCCCCACTTTTAAGTAGTTTTTTTTTGGGTTATACTGCTTTAACTGGCTTCGCACTTTTGTTAGTATAATTTTTTCATCTACAGCTAGAAATTCTTCGTTCGGAACCATGAGTAGCCGTTCTTTGATTTGGCTCAGAACAGGTCTGATTTTGAATAATCTTGTATGTCCGGCTGATCATTTTCAATCATGTCATCATTGTTATTGAAAAATCAAGAAACGTTTTATTTCTTCGAATTTGTTCCGAATATTGGCATTCCAATAGTGGAAGTTGAATTATCGACATGTAAATAGTAATTCCTATAAATTTTTCTATTTCGTATTTTCTAAATTCTTTCGCAAATTTTGTATTATTTTCTGATCTTCTCAGATTGTCTTTCACCCAATTATGAGATTTCTTCTTTTTATGTCGCAGTCTTTGAGACAAAGGGGTATCATTATTTGAGGAATCTGAGAATGTGGCAGAAATAACAATTTCCTTGACATTGTTTGGTAAATCTTCACGCTCCTCATTATCACTATCTTGACACAATATCATCTCATTTGTGCCATCTTCATCGAAGAGATCTGTTTCTTTACTATTAGTACTATCTGGTAGGTATTCGAAGTGAGTCAAAAACAATCAATGAGTTCATAGCTTCATAGTGTACCACAAATAGAACAAACACTTTTTGGGGTTTTCGAGAGACTTTCAACGTTCATAATTTTTAGTACTCACCTGAGTAGTTATCTAGTATCACAATACAATAAATTTCAATTTTTTAAAAAACGTTTTTACTATGAAAAATACTCTCAAACTTCGAACACTGTTTCACGTGGTTCAGAATTTCAACAACAATGAACTTGAAACTGCGCACGGCTACCTTTTACTACGACAAAAATACCAGCTACGACAAAAATTTAGTTAATACATTCAAAAAATATATTTTTTGGTTTGTGCCATTTATGGCACATAATGTGATAAATGGTTAAAAGGAATTTAATTAAGAATTGACTATTAATAAGGATCAGCTATTGTTATATCTATCTCAATACCGGATAACGTTTTGTTTGATCCGATCGTGCTGTAAATTTCCTTAAAATGTTGTATTTATTATTCCGTTTCGATTGCGGAAAATTACAGATTTTATACATATATGCTCTTTTTTGTCTGATTCTGTATTCTTAGCTTCTTATTCTCTTTTATATGTTTATTAATCCAAAATTATCTCAATATATTTTTTTATATTTGTTTTGCTTGCATATTTAATATTTATAGTTTTAAAATTTTATTTATCTAATATTTATATTTTTAGCGAATTTTTTCAGAGTCTGAGAAAATATTGGATACCTTTAACTGTTGATGCATATAAAACTGATTTTTATGCGTTTATGAAAGAGGAACCTATAGATTTGCAGTTAAAATTGTATATAACATTGGAATCAAAGAAGAAAGGTTACTTATGCGAAGATGAAAATTATACGTTTAATCAGGATACGCTCGACATTGTGTTAAAGATAGTTTCTGCATATAGAAAAAAATCTATACGCCCTCAATCTTGTGATATAAACCTTTTAATGAACCTTTTATATAGTAATTTAAAAATATATCTCGAAGATGATGAGGTGGAAAGCATTAAAAAATTTTTCTCACATATTGTTTTCTACGCTCACAGTTCTTTAAAAAAGAATGATGAAGAGTTTTGTTTTTTCCAAGATTTTATTCAGAGAGTACATAAATACTGTTGTGAATGTTTTAAAACTGATTTTTTTCAAGTAGGAGCTCAAATTCTGCACCTTCTATTGACTGCATTAAAGGGTAAGTGATTTATCAACTAAGTATATATGAAATTGTAATTCACTTCATACTTTTGTTTTGTCTGGTTATATTGACTTTTGTTTTTATCTCATATTTAGTTATCCCAGTCATCAAACTTAACAGTGTAGGGTGGTGTAATAAATTAATAAATTAACGAGCCGAGGAAGGAACGCTAAATATTTTTATTTATTATATACCTCACTAAGATTCACACATCACAGCATAAGAGAAACTCAAAAGTCTATAGCATATAGGGTATTCTCCTTCGCGTGGTTGAGATTTCAATCGCTGAATGCGGAATGACGAATGAGAATTTCTCACACACTTCACTGTTGCGTTGGTTTTTGTCTTTAGATTGATGTGCTTCTTTTGTTTGGGTTTTGTCATCCTGTTTTAGGCTCTTGCCTCTTCAGGATGTGGTTTTTGTCTTTTTGGTGTTGGCTTCTGGTTTTTCTTTCTTCGTGCTCCACTGGTGGGGTATAGCCAGGACAATCAGCGGAGAAAGGCAGTGGTCGGTTCTTTTCAGAATTGATTTCTAAAAAATATTAGTGAATAATTAGTGATTGTTAAATTAGTATATGTACAAAATGAGATATTAATATATGTATAAATACATGCATTAATATGTTATAATTAGTAAATGTGTTAAACGCGACGAGAGAGGGCAGCTGCGGCTGTATCCTCTAAATAGACAGGTATCATTTGCAAGTGGGATCGGGAAACCGCAGAAAACCGATCCCCCCCTGTCTAGGCAAGCTCGAAGTGAGCAATTTAGCTAGGAATGCGACGGAAATAGAGGGGAGTTGCCTCCTGTATGTCAATGTATTCATCAGGGAGTTCGTTACTGGCAAGTTCCAGTAGAATTGCGGGGAGGTGTGGGATTTTTGGTTTAGGATGTCTGGTGAATACATTGACGCGGGTAGAGCAGACAGTTTTTAGGATGCGTTGAGCTCTGAGGTTTTGGCTCCGGATAGTGCGTGTAGTATAACTTCTGCTCAGAGAGTGTAGTCTCTCATTTAGGGGCTGGATATTAGATAATTGATGAATGAGGGCTGAAGGGTAGTCGTTGCGTCTACCATTCACTCTACGCAGAATCCTCCTCTCTAGACTTAACAAGTTTTCTTTGACTGATTTTGGTATTGTAGCATAAATATTGGATCTGTATTCAAAAATAGGTCTAATAAAAGTTTTATAGGTGAAAATTAATGTTCTAGAGTGCGTAGCCCCGAAATTACATCTCAAGCTATTGAGGAGACTCAATCTGCTCCTAGCCTTAGCGCAGGCTATGTTCAAATTGGCCCTCCAATTCAAAGTTCGAGTGAACTTCACACCGAGGTATTCGATCTGATCACGGAGTTGGAGTTGATCTCCCCACAGCGTGAGATAGTTTCTTTCGTTAAAGGAGGCCGCGCGTACACTGTGTCTAGGGTGTCTAAAAAGAATCATTTGAGTTTTGTTCGGATTCAGGGACACTCTCCATCTCCTGCACCAGTTTTCAACTAGTCTAAGGTGATCTTGAGCATACCTGAGAACAGAATCAACGTTCGTTGCTGTAGTTACTAGAGCAGTATCATCCGCGTCGAGTAGAGTGGTGGTTTTGTTTCGTGTAGTATTTGGGAAGTCGCTGTTGTATATTGTGTAAAGTATGGGGGCCAGTACAGAGCCTTGTGGTACTCCAGCTGTTGGAGTAAAAGAATCAGAGAAATAACCACGCTCTTTTACTCTGACTAGACGTTCAGAGACGTATGATTGGATTAGTCTGACGAAAGGAATTGGTAGTCCAATGTTCAGTAGTTTCTTGATCAGTCCCACATGCCAGACTTGATCAAAGGCTTTTTGAACATCGAGAAAAATACCTAGTGCAAGTTTGCTGTCGTTCAGACATTGAGTAATGTGTGTAACAATTTCAGTCAATGCCGTATTTGTAGAGCACCCAAAGAGAATTTCTCCGCTGAATCGTGCTTTTATAGCGCCGACCTCCGGGAGGCTCGGCAGTGGGGAAGTTCGACTGTGGTCGACCCGTCTCGCTGGAACTCGGGAACTCAGCTCCTTGAGTGCGCGTAGAGGTAATACAAGGGCGGCCTGCTACAACAGTCTTATTTCATAATTATTCCTTATATATTGATCCGTACATTTGTTTTATATAACTCTACATTCGATATCAACTTCAAATTGATAACTGCCAGTAGCAGTATCGTGAAAAATACTTAGCCTACGCAGTTGGTCTTAAGAGTGTCAGGGTATGCATCCTAGTTACTTCCAGCCAATTTTCTTAGTAAAGTGTTTTTGTGACGGCTTGAGTATTTCCATAAAATACACTTACAAAACGGTATAAAAATGTTTAAATTACATTTAAAACCGAAAGGGAACCTATTGGCCCATATTCCAAACGGTTACCACCGAAACTATAAATCCTAGGTAATTAAATTTGTTGATCTTCGTCTACTCGAAGATTTTTTACTGCCTCTTCTGTTGTTGCTAGGTATTCTGTGTTCTGAAAATTTATTTCTAGACCATTCTTCTAGTACTCATCCAATTTTCTGATCATAAAACTTTTGTCTTCCTCATCATGTACTATAACTACCTGATCTTCTGCAAATTTTAATGGGACTCTTACTGGGACCCCCATTCCTTCACATTTCCTATTCCAAGGTTTAAGGGTATGTCCTAAATAGTTTAAAAAGCTGTGACAATGTACCTAGAGCAACTCTGTAGCAACAACTTTGTTGTCTTGAAGCTTGAACATGTTTTCACTGCTGTTATCAACTGTTGAAATATATCTAGATCCCTCATATCGTTCTTTAATTTGTTTATTGGTACTGAGTCATATGCTTTCTTTAAATCTCTAAATACACAGCAGATTACCCTGCTTTTGCCATTTTCTTAAAATTTTTTGTTGGACCTTTTATGTTTGGTCGATACAGGAAATTGTAAGTTCTGTTCTGACTACCGTCCTACAGCAAATCCTGGTTAGTCTTCGTGAATTTTACCACTGCTATCATTTTCCAGTTTGTTTTTAACAACTTACATTGCCATACAATCGACCCATTAATGAGATTGTGCTAATTCCCCTATAATTTTCACATTTTCTTTGATATAATGTGTAATATAAATATGATATATGTGTTGGTGAAAATCAAACCCAGTTAAGTCCTTAACAAGTGAAACTGAGATAATGGGCTATTTTTGTTTTAAGCAAATAATATTCTTTACAGACCTCTTCTTTATTATTTTACTACTTCTGCTATGTTCACACGTTGTTTTAAAGCAATTTTAGTAAAATAACACAAATGATTAATCCAAAATTGCAAATTATATTTTGGACATATTGTATTTTGTTTTAAAATAATGGACTTATTAATGTTTGAAATACATATTACTTGGACTTATTGGAATTTGATTTAAAATATTTTTATATTGTTTACAGAAGCGAATTAAGGTTAAAAAGTCATGTTTGTTAAAAATAATCTTTATTAATAGAGAAAAATTTAAAAAAATTAAACACCAATATAAATATATACCAACTTTATAAAATAAAGAAAATATAAAAAAAGATGATATAAATTTTAAACAAAGTCTAATACTTCTTCGATTTCTGCGTCTCCTATATCTATGAAATCTTGTGCATTATTTTCACAACCAGCTTCATTTCCAGATTGATCTGAGGTATTATTAGAAAACGGCATATTCTTATAGAATCTTAATTCTTCAAAATTTTGCCATTGGTCCCCGTAGTGTTTCGTAAGCAAAGTTTTGACATCTTTTATTTTACTGGCATTAACAGTGTTTCCCTGTGTTAATTGCTGCAGTTTCATCTCAGTTAAACGTTTTCCAGGCTTCAGAAGTGTTTTTTCCTTAGCCATATCGTTCCTATATGATATTTCGCCTCTTACTGTTATACGCTGTGGTAGCTTGGTTATTATAATTCTTTTGCATTTCTTAATTTGAAAATGCCAGGCTTGTCTTGATTTTAGAAACTCTTTGCACTGCTCTTTCCAGTCATAAACAGGAATATCTGCCATTAACCGATATATAGTCGCATGCTGTCGCATTATGTCTATATATTATGAAGGATCTACAATTTTTTCCATTTTTCTGATTTGTTTTTCTGTAAGGGCAAATATGCGGTCCGAAGGTAGGAATGAATGCCCAGTAACTGGAAAAATAAGGTGAACCTTGGTTATACCACTTTGTACAGTACTGAGCCATTTCACTACCATACAGATAATCATTGAATTTTTATTTTGTCCTCCGCAACCATCTGCGAACAATCTCAGCTCCGTTTTACCTTCTAAATTCATGGTACTTAGGCAGTGATATATGCTAGAACAAATCTCATTTGAGCCTTTACCTGACTCATTTTCTGTCCAAATATAAGATCTTACCGTTTGAATATTCAGTGGAGAATGAGATGAGCCTATGACAACTGTAAAATTATAAAGGTATAATTGACGAGAATAGTATGTGGCCTGATCGGGAATTTTTTGGAGCGGAAGATTTTTTTGGCAATCGAATGACACTGTTACCGTATTGTCATTTTCTTCTCCTAGCAAACGATAAAATGCTTTAGCCCTTAATTTATGAATGCGGTGTTGTGTTATAAGCTCCTGTTTTTTTCGTTTTTGATTTTTCTGCTTTTATTGTTTCGCCAAGTTACAAGCATGTTGAACAAACATTCTGTCGTGGACTACCAAAACCAATATTGAAGCGAGTATTGAAAACGTTACGAAACGTGCCTTCTTTCACTACCAGCTCTGCTGGAGCTTGTTCATTCTACATTTTAAATAACTTTCTTATATTCAAATCAGAATGTAGATATTGTCGTACTTTTATTGTATTACGACAGTAATGCATTTCTAGTGGTTTAAAACCGATGATGAAATTTTCCACAGCTTCTCATCTTGATGAATAAAGTAATTTTTTCCTATCTCCTCCACGATTTTCTTTGGCCATCGAACCTGTATTAAAATGTCTTCTTGCAACACCTTGTACACGAGAACTCTTTATCTTTAAAATTCCCAAAAATGCAGAACTACATACAGGAACTTGAACGTTATTTACATTTCGCGAAATAAAATAATTAATAGTAAATGCTCTCGGGTTTCTAGTATTATTCCTTGGACGACTCCTCCTTGTAGCGTTGACCAAAATGTTTTTGAGAATAAAATTATCTTGTTCGATTTTTGACACAGTCTTATAAAATTTTTTGTGAAAAAAGAACACATCATTGGAATTTAAATTTGCACATTGCAATTTAATTGAATTGTGTCCGCATCGTGGTTTCATCGATAGGCTCGGAGCAGAATACCTAAAACAAAATAAAATTATGAAGTTAAGATATTAATTAAGATGAAAGGCGCAAAAGTCGCCTGTCAAAATTTTCAATGAGTTTTAAATGTATTTATTCATTTTTTTTTTTCGAATCCTAAGGAAACTAATAAGTATTTTTGAAAAATTTAAATGCAGAATAAAAGATTACATTGTTACCGAGGGCCGAAAGTCCCTTAGAATGAATAAAAAGTTTCTTTTGAATGAAACATTTTCAATTAAAAATGACACTAAATTTTCTCTTTTATTGTCACTCCTGTAACCTCTTAAAATAAACATTATAGAAGTTTTCAGGGACATTCGGCCCTCAGCAGTCATGTAATATTTCATTCTGCGTTTAAATTTTTCAAAAATTCTTATTAGTTTCCTTAGGATTTGAAAGGAATTAATACATTTAAAAAATATAACGTCAAAAATTTGAACTCTCAAAATATTTCAAAAACTTATATCCCAAAATTTCTTATATAATTTCGATTTAGAATAAAAACTAAGTAGTTTAATTTGTTTCTAAACTCAACCATATATCAGATATTTAATTTACATCGTTTTATTTATTTTGTAGTAATATAATATTAAACTAGTACGGCTCTGTGTATTTTTGAGGTTAGCTTTAAAACACAGTATTTTACTTACATTTTTTTTATCTTGAGAGCATGTTTTCCTTTGGATTTATTTTTATTTCTCTTCTTTGCATGTTGTGGATCCACTATAACTAATTTGTTTTCCATTTTCACCTCAAAATTTGATAAAAACTTAATAAAAACGTTATGCTTAGCCACGAAACAAACCACTGAAAATAGTGTAACGGTTAAAGCGACGGGAAATGCGCAGACTCGCACACACTCTGATAATGCACTTCTTGTTTCTGATTGGATGCGATGGACATATGGACGTTTGATTAGAAACTGCACTTGGACTTACTTGATTTTGAAATAAAATGACATTTTCAATACAGATTTTAGTATAAAATTAGAGGACATATGAATATTTGATATATGTATAACAATTCGTTAGTAGTACACGGAACAACTCGAAACACAGATTATCTCAAAATTTCATAAAATTTGACTTATGGGACTTTGATTTTTACCAACACATATGATATAAATATTGATATAATGTAAGCATTTGTCCACTTTTCAGGTAGTTCTTCACGGTTGATGGCCTTTTGAAACATTTGGTGTATTGTGCGAAATAACTTTTTAATAATTTCGGGCACTACTCAGGTTCAACAGATGTCTTGTTTTTAATTTTCTTAATAGCCTTATATTAAGCTTAATTAGTTAGCTTAATAATTTTCTTAATAATTTTTAATTTTCTTAATAATACAGACAAATCCTTTTTACTTTGTGTATTTTCTACGAAATTGGGTAGTATCACAAATCTTCTTCTTCTTGTGGTGCCTATCCGTTACGGATGTTGGCTACTAGCATGGCAATTCTAACTTTATTGACCACAGCTCGAAATAGTCCTGAAGTGGTCAAGGAAAACCATTTTCGTAAGTCCTGGAGCCAAGATATTCTTCTTCTTCCTGGTCCTATCTTTCCGTAAACATTTCCCTGTAATATAAGTTGCAGCAGCTTATATCAGTTTTCAAAATATGGGTTTTACGCATCCGCAGCGAGGATTGCAGCTCTTTTTTTGAATGGTGTAAATTGGATTTGTGATAGTGGGGATTGCAACACGGAACCAGCGCATGCTGTTTACGTGATAATTATATCATTTCGGCGGCTCTATTATAGTTTTTGTAATGATATAATCGATAATTGACCTCAATTTCCTTTTCTCCTGGATCCAGGTGTACGTATAGATGTCCTTGTGGCGATAGAACCCATAAATTATGTGAATATTATTGAACTCGCATATTTTAATTATATGCTCCCACTAATAATTAAGATATCATTTGCCATTTTTTAAATTTTTTTATCACTTCTGTCTCCTTAGTTCTCCACCCTTGGATGGTCCCAATTCGGTATCTAAGTTTTTTTAAACGTTTTTTCTTGAAACTGGCTTCTTTCAACCATTTATATAATTACCCTATCCGCTGGGATTTCGTTCATTGAAGGTGTATTTCCACCCGGGAATAGGAGTTACTTGTTATTTTTCATTCTGATTTTTAGCTTATTTCACCCTTAAGTTTTTTATAGGACAGACGCTGCCTAACGGTTGATCCGTGGGATGTATTTTATTTCCCTCCTGTTATCTGAGAGACATTCCGCTGCCTGGGGACATGCTCTCTAGGGGTTACAGGGTCTCCGAGTGGACAGTGATTATGTATCTCAATAAGTATTATCATTAATACTAATATAAGTATTATCATTAACTTTAAAATATCATTAAATATTGGGTATTGTGAGCTTAAGATTCATCAAACGTTTCCATTTTATCCCCCAAAGGTTATGCGAATGTTATAGTGATTCTGATAATGAAGTTTAAACAAATATATTTTCTAAAATAACCAATCTCTATTTCAGGTTCCCATAAGGATTTAAAATTGAACTACAAGTTAGAAAGGAGAGATTACTATGAAAATGGGGAAAACTTGCTCTTTGTTGAGCTGAAAAATAAGAAACTATGGAAGTTTGATCTAGAAATGTTTCTTGTTGTTCATTCTTGTTTCTTATCTACAGAATGTTGGAGCTTGATACTAACGGACCTTCTTAATAAACATTACAATAATTTTCCTGTTATGGACGTGAAAACTCTAACTAACGTTCTAAATAAAGTTGAAAATTTTCCCAATTTACAAAACACAGAAAAAATTATTAACTGCTCTAATTTACTTTTCGGACAAATCAAATCAAATGAGATGATACAGTTCGTAGAAAATATAAGAAATGTTCTGCTTCAAACACTTAGTACCGAAAATATAAATGAAAAGAAATTATTTAAAAGTGTTTTATATCTGGAGATACTTACGTTTGCCAAACGAAGAGAATTGAATATTAAAAATATTCAAGAAATTGCCGTGAAGAGTTTACAATTGATAAATTATATCTTGGACAATGAATATATACGTAATCTTGATTACAGAAGTACGAAGGTTGCGGAAACTTTCATAACTGTAAGTGTTGTGCAACATTTTTTAAATAAGTAAATTTTTCAAGTTAATTAACAAGTTAAATTTATTTAACAAGTTAAAAACATAGATTTAGCTATAAAAACATTACCTTACCTTCTTCTTTTTAAGTGCCGTCTCAAGAGTTCTATAGAACTGCATTTAAACCAGTCCCTTAAATTCTTCAACCATGACATTCTCCTTCTTCCTATACTCCTTCCTCCTATTATCTTTCCCTGTATGGTCCCAGATACTGTAACTTTTTTTTATACCTTACCTTACCAGAAAATGTGAGTTAAAAAGATCTTACAGTTACAAGCTTTATACTGGTGAACCAGAATAGGGATAGACGTCAGCTACGCACAACCTCCCGGAGGAGGGATGCGGAATTCATTTGGTGCTTTAATTAAAAGGTTGCCACTGTTTGAAATGTTTTTTTACATGAATCTTTGTTTATAACTAGTTTCATTTAATTATTTAAAATTTAAAAATTTTAATGGTTATTTAACAATTTTCGGTTACTCTTCATTCTTAATTTCTGTTTTGATCAGTCTGTAATTTCGGTCTTCTTCGAATATTCTTAAAATATTTATATCTTAAAATATTTTCCAAATGTTTAATAAATAAAAATTCTTTATACTATAGAAATAATCTAAAGAATATGTTTCCATCAGTCTTTAATTTCCATCAAATTTAAATAATAATAAAATATTTATATGCTACAATATTTTTCAAAATTACAGGTAGTAAATGTAAATCTTTTAACCGGCGGGCGAACTTTCGACACCAAATTGTCTTTGTACCTGGGGTAATCGAAGGGTCAAATTTTATTATAGGAAATTTCGACACCGCAGCGTAAAGCAGGTAGGTAGGTAATTAGCGGCGATGGACATTTGCACCCAAGCAGGACAAGCGGGTTTTCCCAATATTTATTGTCACGGCGGGGGGGCGTGGCACTTGTGTGCTTGTGACTAAATTATTTCAGTTGTAATTTATTTCTTGTTTGACGTTGACTTTTGCACGTATACGGATATTTAAAAAATGAGTTTGATAAAAAGTTCCCGTGGTCGAGATTTATTAGTGGTGGAGCATCATTCGTTCTCGAAACAGAAAGTGTTAAATACACTTTCTCGAAACAGAGATATTTTGGCGCTGCATCCAAAGAAACACTAAGTGTTCCGCAAAAGTGTTTACAATAGGCTGTGAGGACCTCACCATCACAAGAAGTGATTTGGTACAAAATCATGAAACCGATCCAAAAAAGCTTGAAGTAAAGATGGTAACCAATGCATGTAAAAGAAAAGCCCAAGAGGACATATCGGAAAAGCCTGCCAAAATTACAAGAACTGGTGTTGCTGAGTGTGATGCCAATTTGCTGACGGTTCCTGACATAGCTAGCATAAGAAAGAACATTTACAACTGTCGTCGTAAACTGTTACCAGGTCCGTTACCAAGAAGCATATCAGAAGTCCATAACGCGGTTAGTAATTATTCTCCTAAAACCTGTCGCAATGAAAGTTTTTTGTTTTTAAATTATCCTGAATTAAATGTAATTGTATTTTCATGCGAGACAAATATTCGTTTGTTGTGTAAATTAAAAACTTTGTATATGGATGGTACATTTTCATACAGTACCAAATATTTTCTACAATTATTTACTATACATGGCTTGGAAAATGGACATTATGTTCCTTTAGCATACTGTTTGTTAAAAGACAAATTGTCAATGGCATACAAAAATTTATTTTCTTTATTAAGGTCTAAGATTTTTGAAACATTTCAATTATCATTAGAGCCAACTGAAATATTTGTGGACTTTGAAAAAGCAATTCACTGTGCTTTATTGTATATGTGGCCCAATGCAAAAATTAGTGGATGCCGTTTTCACTTACACCAAAACTGGTTTAAAAAAATTCAATCTTTGGGTTTGGTACAAGAATATAAGGATACAAATTCAGAAATTGGAAAATGGTTAAGGGATACGTTTGGTTTAACTTATTTAAATCCAGCAGAAGTTGAAGAATGCTTTCTTTATGATTTAATGTCATATAAACCTATAAACGCAACACTTGATATATATGCAGATTATTTACTGGAAAATTACATTTTCGATAGCGCTCTATTTCCACCACACATATGGTCTAATCAGAATCCGTCTATTACGAGGACCACAAATGCCTGTGAATCCTTTCGTTCGAGATTTAATTCTTCTTTTTATTCAACACATCCTTCTATTTTTATTTTTATTGAAAAGTTAAAAGAATTTCAAGTAGACACTTATGTCAAAATAAATAGTTTACATATACCAGCAAAAATCAAAGATACTACTGTTAAGGTAAATTGGAATTTTTGGAGAAAATGATGGATAAACTACGATCCCAACAAATACGTAGGTTAGATTTTATAAAAGCTGTATCTTATCATTCCTATAATAGCAAATAAATCATTGTATACAAGTATATTAACGGTAAAATGTACAAAAATTAGGTACTAATAGTTGTATTATATTTAGATATTATTACAGTTATAAAGAAATAAAATGCACATTACTTTTATTAAAATAAATAAATTAATTATGGTATTTTATTTATGTCGCAGCTATATTTATTTGGTGTCGAATATACCTGTAAGATAAAAACGGGAATTGGGGCTGGTGTCGAAAATTGCCATTAAATTTTAGTCGCTACCTGCTTAGTGTCGAAATTTCCTTTACTACGTTCCACGTTAAGAAAATAACATTGCGGAGATAGGGCCATGTATTTCTTATGGACGATAGAAACGCGGCGTTGCCACGACACACACAAGCACAATTTAGGGTTGTATAATTTGTATTTTCGTGTCTACAGATATTAATTAAATTAATGTTTTTTAACGTAATTGACCAAAAGTGCCCATTCGAAACAAAAGATGAAAAGTAGGGAAAATCATTTTAATGAGATAAATAGTATTTACAAAAGATAATTTTATTTTATCTTATTTTAATTATAGTAACGACAGTTTATTTGTTTTTCGGTGAGAATATCATATACCATGAATCATAGAAATTAGTAGAAAATATTGCTATTAAATCATGCATTTTGCCGCCTATTAAAGTTTTAAAAGCAAATAGACGGACCGCTTTGAATGCGTATATCTAATTACTAATTGCAACTTAAAATAATACGATGTGCGTATGTCAGCGATTTTATGTCGTTCTCTGACTACATAATGATAATAAGGCTTTTATTTAGTAGTTATTCTGACTTTTATACAGTTAAATGGTAATTGAAAATGAAAATTCAAAAATTAAGCAAAGGGAATATCTTGGACATCCGTGCAAAAGAGAGTGTCTGAGAGTTTTGGCAACACTGATCTCCATAAGCGTAATGTTATTTTCTTAACTTGAAACAAAGATTACGCCCCTTTTAACAATACAGTACAAGAGGGCAATCTGTTTCGACCGGTCTTTACTATTAGCTAATTATTTTTGTTCTCTAAAATTTAATTTTCTTATCAATCTAACGTTGGGCCAACTGATATGGGAAGGGGCTCGTAAATCAAATCCTTATCGCAGTCATCCGTGTCTGTGTCTGAGAATATATCTTCGCTATCCGAATTTTCACCTAAATTAATAATACATTATTCTGTGGTAGCATCAAATGAAATGAAATCATCCTCAACAAGTTTCACTTTGTCTACAATTTTTTTCCACTCCTATACGGAAAATATTTTAAAAGAACTCCTCCGACAATTTTTGAATAGAATTAAAATTGAAATATACATTTCGTGTTCAAATAAAAAAAAAATTAATAGTAGCATACAGATATGGTCTGAGCAGGAAAAGGAATAGCTTTTAGCCAATGTTTCATTTGACTCTTTGTTGATGCAGCTGTTGGTACTTTATCCTGTTAAGTCCATTGTCCATCACCATGACACTGTTGGGATTTAGATTTTTCTTCTAATCACTTTTTGTAGTTGACAAAATTAAAATCATGATGGTAATTACCCGATTTTTGTTGGGACTTTCATCTCACATAAGATCCACCGACAATCTTGCTTTGTTCCCTGTACCCACAATGATTAAACCGTTGGTCCTTAGAGACAGTTTTTTTAAGCTCACTGTTTTTTCCATCAATTTAACTATTACTGCGACTATGGTTTGAAAGTAAATACGTTTCATTAGTAAACGCAATAATTTTTTTTCATTTCTAAATTGTTTAATCTGTTCTAATTCTATAAAATTTTCGTTTCTCTCTAAATGCTAAAAACAAGCCATTACAGTTATCACATCGATTTAAGTTTCATATACACAATTTGACCATACAAATTAGTACATAATGATTGAAATCCAACTTTATTCAATAATTAAATAGATATAAGGTTGAATGCTTGAATAAATGAACTTTGATAAAATGAAAGGCAGATATCGAGCACAGTTTTATTAATTAAATCTTGCCTAAATACTTTCGCTTCCTAGAGCATTTTCGGGGGCATTTCGTCAATTTTGGGCTATCCAACAATCGCAGAATGTCAAAAACATAAAATTGTACATAACAATACACTAAACAAGGACAAACAGTTTAAAATTATTAGGCGAAGCTACATTCTGGTCATCAACAAGAGAGATTCTCGCCTGTTTCCGAAATAGACGGAATATTATCGAAAAGAACCTTTTGTTGTATGAGCTCCTCCAAAACTCTGTTTCAGGTTCACATTTCACAAGTTTCAATATATTGTAAAATCGTATATATTCAGTTCTTCGCAATCCGACTCTGTATGATTATTAAAGAAGAATAAATCGGGAGATCTTAATAGTACTGTTCACGCCTCCAATTTTCTTTTTCAGACTTGTTGTTAATATTCTTATATTACTAGCATATTGTTCCTTTGACGAAGTTTGACGTTTCCCTTACCATGCGGACATCTTCGGGAAGCACCACGTGAACTTACAAATAGAACACACAAATAGAAAAGGACGCTGATGTGTTGGAAACTTCGCATATTCCCTCCGGATTTACGTCATAGCTAAATGGTATGATTAAATTCGACATTAAAGAGTTAAATAAATTTCAAATAAAAATTGTAAAGTCTTTGAATCGTTACAATTGTTAGTGTGCGTTGATTTCCTTGTTTATAAGCTATTGTTTGGAATTATACCTTCGTGCAGCAGAAATATTAAATAGTAGAGGGGAAATAATATAACAGTACTCACAAAATATTTAAACCTTCCTATGGTTATTCTTGTTCCTAGGATAATATATATTTTCGCTATTCGTTTTCCTTAGTACTTATGTCAATAACTTATCATGTAAAAGACTTGTGTGTTCTCAATACAGCAAACAAATGCATCAACCGATACGTCTCGACATTATTGTATGTGTTTTTGTAGAGATGCAGACTTAATAGTTCTTACCAATTACCATGAGTAATCTATCATATTATTTTATAAAATAATTTATGAACAAATTTATTGAAGAAGTGAAAAAGTTATTAACAAATTGTATATTTGGTTATTGTTGTGTTTAGGCGTCTATTAGAAATATTTGTTAAATTTCGTCAAAAGCTGATTAATGAAGTTATACGAGGTATGTCCCAAAACCGACTTTCGTTAATAACTTTGCCATGCATTATTTTACGTCATCCAGAGATCGACATTGACTGGTAAAAATAAGGAACGAAAATTGGCTATGAATAAGGAAAATAATATGGAAAGTGCAAGAAAAAAACAGAATAAGAATAGGAACAAAACTGAGATCTTAGCGTTTTAAGAAATACGATTAAAAAATCAAGGAGCAATGGTTAAAAGAGATACACAATGTTTTATTTCGGAGATACAAAACAGGTTCATAATGGAAAAGGTTTCTTAATTTACACTAAACTAAGGAACAATGTGATAATATTTTAAAGCCATATGTGGAAGACAATTTTATGTCAGAATAAAGAACAGCCGATCCAACTTAACATTCATTAATGTATATGCTTCAACTAAGAATGAGAAAGAGGAAAACAAAAACGATTTTTACGAGAAACTTGAAGATGTATATGAAAATATACCCAAAAATGACATATACATGTAGGAAAACTAGATTCGGACATTATTCATAGTAATTATTCAACAAGAGTTGGAAGGAAATTTTAAAATTTTAAACCCTAACAATATAAAAGAAACACGGCAAGAAATAAAATTATAAAAGTCCACATTTTGATAGCATCAGAAAAAACAATGATGATATAAATGATCATATAAGATATAAAGAAGCAAAAGGAAAAATAGAATGAAAGACGAAGACTGTGAAGCAGCAGCTAGAGAAAAAAACATAGCCCGAAAGAAATGGCTGAAGACAAGTACAGAAAAAGTCTTAAAAGCGTATAGGAAAAAAAGAAACTCAATGCTGTACAAATAAAAAAAGAGATGGATCGATGAGTTTATGCAAGAGTTGGAAATAAATAGCAAAGATAATGTAAAGTTATTATATAGTATAAATCATGATACTATGAATAACAAGATAGGATCTTCCCGTAGCTCAAAATCGGTCGGGTTCGCGCATGCCGTCATTGGAGAGTAGAATTTGAAATCTTGTTAAAGTTAAATGGGATTTGTATGCATTCTGTGTTGAAATTACTAGACGAAAATAAGTTAAGAGGTTTAATAATTACAATAATCGTACACATAAGGATATTTCCAATCTATTTATTAAAGATTATTTATTGACATACAAAAAACTGACATTTCGAACGTGTAACTCTCCAATGACGTCACAAAAACATGCGCAATAACTTTTCTTATAGTCATAGTATCATGGTATAAATATATAAAATCACAAAATAAAAAAACCAACAGTTAAGATATGATGCCAAAATATGGAAGAAGCATTATGAAGAGTTACTAAAGACTTCGTGTTTTAAACGTTCCTATCTTCTAGTGATTTTGGCGATCACATTGGCCCATCTTATTCTATTCACAGCAGGTCAAAATAGAGTTTCGACTTTTCACTTCATAATCGAAAAAATATATTCAACATGGACAGTGGATGAAAGCTTTCATTGTGAAAACTATTGTAGGATCATATCCATAAACCTACAACTCAGCATTTTAAGTTGTTCAAAAAGCCATCTAAGCGAATCTTTTCATCTTTGCTGTGATCAACTTAGGAATAAATTTGCACACGCAGTAATTTATATCTTCAATCATAATAATTCTTCTTGAAACGAAAATCTCACACATTCGATATTTTCGGATGTTAGTAGGCTATAAGTTGAACCAGAAAGCGGGTCATAGTCAACAAATGTATAGCCATTTTTGGACGAATTGAGTCTGCTTTGTTTAACATTTAGTTCGAAAGACTTTTTGCGTAGTTTAAATAGTTGCTGCAGTTACTGATTACGGTATCTGATCCTCATTAGAAGGTTCTGGAACAAATTTATGAGCGACGACGATCAAATAGTTTTGAGACGCATCTCGTATGATAAAAAAGCCATTATTATTTAGATGGGAATAAACCACAATTAAAGGTTAAAGTAGGTTTATTGACGTTTCAATTTCCACTTCGGAAAGTGGAAATTGAAACGTCAATAAACGTACTTTAATCTTTAATTATAAATTAAAGATTAAATAAATTATTTATTATTCCTATCTAAATAGTAATTAGTTTAAAATGCTTTAAGAAAATAGCTACAGAACAATATAAAAAGTCACTTAAAATATTAAATACTTTATAATAGCTAAAACTAAAAAGGAATTATTTTTAGCGTGTTATGTTTTTCATAATACCAAATCTAAATGAGGTATGGCCATTGATAGACAAACCATTTACTGTTACAACTGTAATCAAAATTATCCAAAAAAGCAATATGAAGAAACCGGTTTCCGTTAGCGCAGATATGTTGAGGCAGATTGGATATCAAATGGAAGAAAATGAAAACGATAAACTCTTAAAAGTAGATTTATTGGAAAAAACTTTAAATGCAATAAACGAAGTAGTAGATACTAATGTGTTGAAAATTAGACGATCCCCTGAAAGTCGATTGGTTATACATGCAATGTGTATTTCTCAGAAAGATTCAAACAAGGTAAATATTTTGATTTTTTAGGAGTAAAACCAGTTATTTTAACGATCAACGACACCGAACAACTTCTTTTTTTGTAATAGGTATATTTAAATATAAAAATTATCCAAAAATTTTAGGTGAATAAAACGTTTCGGCTCTATTAGACCAACAGCAGTAAGTTCATAATTTAATAAAAGCAAATAATTTCACTTTATGCAAAGTAATGCAAAGGAGTAAAATATTGACGATTAATACAATTAAATGCCGGAAATACTACTCCGGAAATGACACCCGAGATCATCTAGATGAAGTTGGAATAATTATCTCCAAGAGAATCCAAGCAGCGTTGTAAATTTTGTTCCCTTTTCGGGTAGAATCTATTATTACAAATATAGGGTAAGCCAGTGAACATTAATGTAGTACAAGCGTATGCTCCAACTGCAGATAAATCAGAAGCTGAAATAGAACATTTTTATGAACAACTCAAACAACTTCTACAATACACAAGAAAGGAAAAAATTATTATAATATTAGGTGATTTAAATGCAGATAGGAAAAGATCGAGTCGACAATATAATAGATGATTATGGTTTAGGAATAAGGAATGCTAGAGGGGACAGATTGGTTCAATTTTGTCAAGAATAAAACCTAGCAATTATTAACACATGGTTTCGATTACCACCCCGTAGGCTGTATACGTGGAGGTCACCACAGGATAATGAACAAAATTGCATTAGAAAACAGATCGATTTTATTCTAACCAATCTAAGATTTAGAAATTCCATTGTAAGCGTTAAGACTTTTCCTGGAGCAGATGTTCCCTCAGACCATAACCTTCTTATCTTAAAGTGCTCAGTTACTCAAGATAAATGAAATCCGTGCTGAGTCTTCAACTTCAAGAAATGACGAACTTAATATCAGAAATGAAAAACACTCAGAATGTGAACATTATATGGAGCAAAATCAAAGATTTTGTTATAAAAACACAGGAAGAAACTCTATAAAAGAAAACAGAAAGCCGAAAACCTTGGATGACTCAAGAAATACTGGAAATCATGGAACAAAGAAGAAAATATAGAAACAAAAACCCAAATAAGTACAGAAAAAAAAAACATAAATTAATACGGAACAAATAAAAGTGGCCACTAAAATCTTCATTCTACTTCGACCATCAAATAGAGAAGAAGATTTTAGAGGTTAGCGTTTTCAAACCTGCAATTAACCACGTTGTCCACTTTACATGACATAAAGTTCAGGTTAAGAATTAAATAAAAAGATGTAAAACTCTCTAGTTAGAGAGGACTTTCTGTCCAATACATAAAAGTAACAATTGTGCGTTGTCTTTGTACCAGTCTTTGTAAATTTACAACACATGTATTTTGTGAAAAAAACTTACAAAATTTTTTATAACTTTGTCCAGCTTTCTTTACAACGATAATCTCAACGATTGTCAAATTTTCATGTCAAACTATTTGTAGCTTATCCCTGATGATGTCGATGACTATCGACGATATATTGGATTAATAAAGGACTAAAGAGTACACTTAGCCTATCATTTCAGCTGTTTTTACCCAGAGTCTCAAGGTTTATTTTCTAACTTAATCAGCTGTAATTAACACTACTTTATACATTTATATATATATATATATATATATATATATATATATATATATATACGGGGTGGTGAATCGTCAAACGGGCCATAGGAAACTCAATGAGAAATTTTAAATTGTTGAATTGCTGCTTCCCTAATTATTTTAGATCAAAAGTCATAAAAAACTATTTGTAGAGGACTAAAATCTGAATTAAAAACAAATGTTAAAACCGTTCTACGAATCAAATGTACTTCAAAATTTTGCAAAAATATAATACATTTTTCAGGCCACCCCTAAAAGTTAGGCCACACGTAATGCAAGAATTAGGACGTGTGTGTTTTATCATATTAATGTCAGATGTTTGATAATTTGAATTGTCATTTTTTTATTTTATGATTAAATTATAAACAATGAATTTTACTAAATACTACTACTAATGAACATTATTACTTTGTGAACAATAAATTATATTGTTTACAAATCGATCAATATAATGAAATATACTCAGTTGACGAAAAATCGCATAATGTTGTATTCAGGCAATAGCGTGAACCTTTTTCTGCCACTACTGGATCTTTATTTAACGTAAGATATTCTAATTCACTAAAATTTAATTCCATGTTAAGTTAAGTTATACAACAATTCAATGAATTCCAATATAATGTTACTGTCATCTTTATTCCTAACAATAATATATGATAATTTCTAAACATAAAACTATAACAAATGTTATAATAAACCATGAATAAAAACATTTTTATTATTGCTTTTTTCTCCTTAACTGAGTACATTTTTTAATCAACTTAATTTTTTTTTAACAATAAATCACAAAATTTTGGCCATTTAAATCATAGATAAATGTAATATAATTGATTTAAATATTGTCAAATATCAGAAATAATAATATGACAAAACGCAACACATAATACACATTTTTTCACAGAAAAATGTATTAGCAAAATTTTGGAATACGTTTAAGTCGTAGAATAATTTTAACAGTTGTTTTCGATACATATTTGAGTCCTCTACAAATAGTTTTCCATGACTTTTGGTGTAAAATAATTAGGGAAGAAGGAATTCAACAATTTAGAATTTCCCATTGAGTTTCCTATGGCCCTTTTGACGATTCACCACCCTGTATTATATATATATATATATATATATATATATATATATATATATATTATATATATATATATATATAAACAGTAGTCTCTCTTTATAACGATTCCCTATATAACGATAATTCCTCTAGAACGATGAAAATAGTAAACGTTGGTTGGTTCGCCACAAGAACAATGTATTAATTCTTTCTCTATACCGATATCGTTCTCTCTTTATAGCGATGACTTTTCAGCGTTCAATAGTCGATGTCAAAATTTATTATTGTGTTTAAAGTTCAGACTACCTGAGTCATGAGTGGCAAGGTCGTTGTCCAGCGGTTGTTTTAATTTGCACTTAAGGAATGCGGCCACCCATTTTACTCATTCTTATGAAAGGGTTAGGTGACTCGCTTTTATTATTCGGGCGGCGTGCCTAACTCTTATCACACAGATATCATCTATTGACGACTTTTCATTTCCAGTTTGAGTTGTGTCTCAGACGAAGAAGTTGCGGAAACCTCAGTACGAAGATTCGCGCTATGCTTCAGTGGTTTCAGTAGCAGCGAATGAACCATATTCCACTTTCTGGGCCTGTGGTCAGGACAAAAGCTGAATCTTTTGCAACTGATCTTAAAATTGCAAATTTCAAGGCATCTGAGGGTTGGCTGAGTAAGTGGAAGAAGCTCGCGATATTAACAAAAACGTAACGGATGATTGGCTACAAAACGTGTGGCCTGGACTGAAGGCATGTTATGCGTCAGACGACATTTTCAATGCTGATGAGACTGGATTGTTTTTAAAAATGACACTAAACAGAACTTTAAGATTTAAATCGGAATAGTTGGTGGAAAGCTCTCTAAGGAATGAATTACAATTTTAGTGACCGCTAACATGACAGGTTCGATGAAGCGAAAATTGTTAGTGATAGGGAAATTGAAAAATCTACGTTGCTTTAAAAACATAAAAATCTAGCTGTGACCTATAAAGCAAACAAGAGTGCGTGTATGACTTCAAATACTTTTGAAGAAGCGATAAGAAAGTGGGATATCGAGCTTAAAAGGAAAAAAATTCTTCTGCTTGTAGACAATTGTTCTGCTCATCCTATACTGTACGACCCTCAAAACATTGAACTTTGTTTTCTGCCAGCAAACACAACGAGTGTCCTTGAGATCCAGCCGATGGACCAAAGTGTCATCAAGAGTTTGAAAAGCCATTACAGGAGAAGACTTTTGATGGTATTGGTTGAGAACAATGGCAATATTAAACTAAACATTCTTGACGCCATCCTAGTGATTAGTAAATAATGGGACGAGGTGACGAGCAATACAATAAAACATTCCTTCAAACACGCAGGATACAGACAGTTTGAACTTACTATCACCTATGGACCGGAAGAGCTAACAGATTTTGAATAATTTAATGAAAATGTAGCAAAAATATCTGGACTTTCTGAAAAGGACATCCTACAGTTCGTGCAGAAGAAGAAGAAAACAGTGACCCAGAAGTGGAAGCAGAGCCAGAACTAGCTCCGACCCCTTAGTAGGCATTGAGTGTGGCAAATGTACTGCATTTATTCTTCATCCACCTACTAATATAACGCAGAGCTGTGTTAGCCACATTAGCCATGTCTGTTTTCGGACTTCCCTTCACAACCAGTGCGAGATCATCGGCATAAGCCACAAGAGTGCATCCACTTAACATCAACATGCTTATATCGACGTAGCCCTTATAACGGTTGCATCTCGAGACGAGCATGTGTGTTCGGGAATCTTCTGGATGTATCGACCGTGTGGAAGATCGAGACGTCAAATACAACCGAGAATAGAGGTGGACTATTCCAGATTATTCTAGTAGATAATAACTTGCATATATAAGTAGCGCTGCTAAGGGAGCTGATATGATAATGTGCTCTAAACTTATAAATAAATATTTTTATATAAATTAGAACCGCTGGTTTTATTGAAACACGCTACACTATATTAGTTTTTAGTGTTGCCTTCCTTTAAAAGAAAAATAATGAAATCTGTATAATTATAATTGTTTTTTAATTACTAAAACGATTATCTTCGCAATTGTTTTACTAATCTTTTATTTTTATTTTAGCCTTTACTTCATTGGACGATGAATCACTTGCTTAATGTTTTATCTAATCCTGAAACAGAAGATCTGTCTCTAGCATCTAGTCTTCATACTATCGAATTACTTATTTCTGATAACAGACTACAATATCAGACTCTGCAGTATATTCCAGTTATTATTATAAAATGCATTGAGTTATTTAAATGTTCAAACTGGGTGGTAAGGTAAGTTTATAAAATTTATTAAGTTGCCATCCGGCCTTTAACGGTTTTACTTTATATAACTAAAACTCTTTTTTTTTTTCTTTAAAAACTTTTAATAAATCTAAAAAATGTTCAAATAATGTTACATTAATACAAAATAAAAAAATGACCTAGTTTCCATGTAGAATATTTTTCTGAAGCAATTTTATTGTGTCATTTTAAACTAATTAATATTTAAATGGGAATAAGCCACTATGGATAGTGGGTAGGAACTCCTTAGACAGTCCTATCAGGGAGAATGAATCATTCCCTGCCCTCCAAAGATTCCAGGTGTTTCTTGACCCGGGAAACTAGTACCTGCTCAGGGTCCCTTGTCCAGGGTCACGGATGAAGACCACAACGGCATTCAAGGCGGAGAAGGATACCTTCGGTACGGCGAGGATGGCGGAAGTGGCACTCCTGATTTTAGGGTTAATATAAAATTTAAAAAAAAATTAAAGGAGAATAAAGAACAATACCAAAACAAATTAAGAACAGCGGAAGAACTAAAGCTAACAGACTTAAATCTAGATCAACTAAACAAAGCCATCACTAAAGAACTTCTAAAGACTAGCTTAGAAGTAGCACCAGCAAAATCAGACAAAAAATAAAAACTAAGCAACAACGGAGAAGCCTACTACAAGAAAATAAAGGAAATACAACTGAATACAAAACCCTTAATACAGAAATAAGAAGACATATAAAACAAGATCTTAAACGGCATCAAGAAGAACGAATCGAGAAGATTATAGGAGAAAACAGAAACTTCAGATCTATCAAGTCCCATCTAGGAAGAAATAAAATCATAGAGATTGAAAATAAATCAGGTATAATAGAAAAAAACAGAACCCAAATATCTAAGATAACAAGGGAATATTATAGTGACCTCTACAGCTCTAAAAACAGTCCACCTGATACAACTCAACAAAGAAAAAGAAAAACCTGAAAAAGAAAATAATGAATGTAAACTCTGAAATATTACCCCCATAACCGGAGAAGAAATAGAAAAGGCAATTAGAGATATGAAAAGAAATAAGGCTCCGGGAGACGAAGAAATTCTAATTGAAATGTTAAAAGAATGAAGAGAAAAGATAAAAGCCTACCTAAAGATACTTTTTAATAAATGTTTATTTGAAGGAAAAATACCACAAGAGTGGAACAATGCAAATACAAGTCTGAATATATAAGAAAGGAAGTAGATCAAAATTAGCTAACTAGACCAATATCTTTCTTGTCACAAATCTATAAAACTTTCACTAAGGTGATCAACATTAGACTAAACAACAAATTTGATGCATACCAACCAGTTGAGCTGGCAGGATATAGAAAGGGGTACAGCACAACCGACCACCTTCACACCATACCGAATAGATTCACGCACCTTGCCGAATAGATTCACGGTACAGAATGTTAATTCACAATATATATATATATATATATTATATATATATATATATATTATATATATATATATATATATTATATATTAAAACGCCACTATGAGAATTCAGCTAGACAGAGATTTGCAAACTCCCTTAATTAGAATTTGTAGAGGTGTCAGCAAGGGGATACAATCTCACCCAAACTATTTACTCTGGCGTTGGAAGACATTTTTAAATCTATAGACTGGAACAATAAAGGGATTTGTATAAACGGGAAATATTTCAATCATATAAGATGCTCCAATGATGTACTCCTGATAACAACAACTATGTAACAACTACGAATAATGATTTCAGACCTAGAAAAAAACATCTCTTGGAAAGGACTAAAAATGAATCTAAAGAAAACTAAAATAATGACTAATACAGAAGACAGATCAGTAATTACCATAGGTGGAACAGACATAGAACACGTCCAAGAATATATTTACTTAGGACAAGCTATCAGAGCCGACAAAAGTAACCAGACTAAAGAAATAACCAGAAGAATAACTCTCATTCGGAAAACTCATATACTATCAAAAACCAAAAAATACCTTTAAAATTAGGAACGAAGATATTTAATGCATGCGTCCTATCTGTTCTGACATATGGTGCTCAGAGGTGGACATGTACCAAGAGCAACGTTTAGAGAAAAGAAAACTAAAAGAGCTATGGAAAGACAAATGTTGGGAATATTGTTGAAAGATAAAAAGAGGAACGAGTGGATAAGATGCAAAACCGAAACAACAGACGCTGTTGAACATGCATTGAAATTAAAATGGAAATGGGCTGGGCATAACGAAAGATATCAGAAAGATGTAATAAAGAAATAGGCCGCTGGAGACCATATACTGCAAAAAGGTCAAGAGGTCGACCGCAAATGAGATGGAAAGATGACATTGAGCAAAGCGCAGGTCCAATGTGGAAAAGACAAACAGAAGACAGAGACAGATGGAGACAAATGGGAGAGGCCTATATTCAACACATGAATAGATTTTGGGCTATAGATAGATAGATGCCACAATTAAGTAAATAATATAAAGTCCCACATGGGAATCTAATCGATATCTTAAAATCATGGCTCGATGGTAAGGATATAAGACTGATCTCAAACTTATATCTTAAACAAAAAGCAACAGTACGATTAGAAAAGGAACTGTCCGAGATCTTCACAGTCGAAAAAGGAGTTAGACAGTGTTGCATATTGTCACCGGCATTATTTAACATATACACTGAAAACATCTTTAGAGAGGCCTTGGACGAATCAGAAGATGGGATTGATGTAAATGGCCAACTTATAAACAACATTAGATATGCAGACGATACAGCGTTGCTGGCAGATAGTGCGCAGGGGCTCCAAAGGATGATGGATAACGTTGTAGAAACATGTAACAAATGCGGCCTAAAACTAAATTGCAAGAAGACAAAAATAATGATTATTAGTAAGAGCACAGGCATAATCGCCCAAATTACAATTAACGATACACCGTTAAAAAGAGTGGAAAAAATATGCTATTTGGGCTGCATGATTAAGGATACGTGGGATCACAGCTACGAAATAAAAACTCGTATTGAAAAAGCCAGAAGCTCTTTCAACAGCCTTAGGAATAATCTCTGCAACTTATCTTTAAGTATCAAGTTATTCTCTATGGAGTAGAAAGCTGGAGCCTTACAGAAGATGCCACAAATTGATTAGAGGCATTTGAAATGTGGTGCTATTGCTATATATAATGTATGTTGAGGGTCTCATATATGCACCACACAAGTAACATAACTATTCTCCAGAGGCTAAGAGAAGACAAAGAAATTATTAACATCATAAAAAACAGAAATTTGGGTTACTTCGCCCACATCATGCGTAATGATAAATACCAACTTCTACTGTGAGTAGAATAAGATGGGTCTATGTGGTCGCCAACATCTCTAGAAGATAGGCTTATTTAGAAGAAGAAACCACAATTAAGAATTAAAGTACGTTTATTGACGTTGTAATTTCTACAGAAGTGGAAATTGGAACGTCCATAAACTAACTTTAACCTTTAATTGTGGCTTATTCTCATTTAAGTATTAATTTCTATGTAGAATAATTAAAATTATATATTTCAACATGATTAATGTTGTTTATACGTTTTTCAGAAATGCTGATCTACAGTTGTCAAAATCACTGATAGAAAGAATATATGGAGTATCAATGAACAATGTTTGCAGGCCAAAAAGCATCGCAGATATGTTTATATTGTATCCTCATCTAGCTACATACTTCTTCAAGATCATTTCAGCTGAACCTTTAGACGAAAGATCTGTAATCGCTTTACAATTTTTTTCTGAATCGCAAATAAAAGAAACGGCCTTTGGGGATAGTATTCTAGAGATTGTGGAATGTTTTCAAGTATTTTTGGTGCATATCATAAAATCATACCAAAATCATTACGGAAAGTTAGCAGTCAAAGCCTTAGTATCTCTTTGTTTGGCTAGAGATATCCCAAATATATTTTTAGATATTGAAAGTTACATATTAACTAATTTTATGGCAATACCGAAAAACATTCTTGCTAATATATATCTCTTGATGCAAGATTTGTATGAGAAATATAAAATGTCATACCAACATTACAGTAGTACCAAAGGTATTGCAAAAATTCATTGTAGTTGGAACAATATCGTAACATTCTTAAGACAAGTTGATTCAAACATCTACGACTTTTTGTTAATGAAAATTAAACCTATGAAAACTATATTGAAGGAGGAAAACTTTGAAAATAGTTTGTGGATTCATAATAATTTACCATTTTTGATGTTAAACGCCAATTCTATAATTATTTGCGAACTTATCGAAAATAAACAGTTTCATCAACTTCCAGAGTTTTTCCAAATCAAAATGTTAAGTATCTTGGTACAAAGATTCGAACAAAATCACTTCACTAATGATGATTTAGCTTGTATAACAAACTCGATATTAAAAAGATCTCTTTCAACCAACTATAGTGAACATTTATCAATGTCTTTCTTTAATTTTTTGTTGATTCTCCACAAAAATATAGCAATAAAGTTCAAACATCAAGTTTGTTTCTCAAAACACGTATATAAAAATATGCTCAATCTTTTATATGTTTCAAATACTGTTTTGGATTTACCAGTTTCCTATTTTGAATCAATTATACAGAATTTTAAAAACAATATTTCAATAAATGATGAAATTCATAAAGACATATTATCTATTCTAAACATAACTTATACTAAATTTCCTAAAGAATGTCGGTTGGATATCTGCAAAATAGTGTTTTATTTGTCGCTTTTAAAGTCGTCTTATATTGAATCTCTGAATTTAATATGTACCATAGTGAACAGAAAATATTTTAGCATTTTGGATGCACTCAATGATTTTTTATCAATAAATACTCTCTTAGAAATATTAGAGAATAAAACCATTGTACATACGTTTCTTAAATATATTAGTATGATTTTAGATAGAAACGAGCAATTGACATATGACGAGGAGTTTTATAATGTAGAAAGTGAAGTCTTAGTCCCAAAAAAATTTGTTAAAACAATATTGAAATATAATTGTTGTTGCTATAAAACAATTAATAAAAATGTCTAAAATATAAAACTGTTCTTTAATACTACATATTTACTTTACCGTGCAATACAAGCTTCCTTTTACAAATTCGTTCCACTTAGATGAATTTAGATCATCACGGGTATTTTGATTTCTTCAACTTCATTTATAAAAATTTTTAGTATGTTTGAGTACATTTTATGCCAATTATATGGCCTAACTATTAGGTTTGTTCCAACACAACGAAATACCGTCACGTAACGGTTACGCTCCTGTGCACTAAACAAAATACATTCCAACAAAAATATGATCGTTCATCTCATCGTCGTTCCGACCGTTCCAAAAAAAAATTGTGATCGCCCAGTGACGATTTCGTGACGATAATTTCAGTAATCTGGCAAATGCATGTACTGGTTGGGATGACTTGCGCACTAGGATTTTATTCTGCTTCTTTAAATTTGTTGGGCCTAGATTAACTTAAGGCCGTATAACACTATACATTTTCTTGTATCATTTCTTATATCATTTCTGATATAGAAAGTTATTTATGTTTTCTTTTATCGTTTCTTGCACGTACATTTTTGCCCTGTATGACACTATGCAAGTTCTTTTACCAGAAAGTGTATGTGATTTGGCACATGATTGGTCGAAATTTTGACACCTATAAAAATAGAACTGCAGTACCTACCTGAGGACCCCAAGCTACTGGGGACTGAGGACAAATGCTGTTGATTATTTTTTAAAATACTGTGGTGCAAAAATGAAAGAAATAAAATGTCCCAATATTAAAATGGAAACCACAATTTTTGAAGATATTCAAAAGGCTGTAATGGAAGACAGAAATAATAAATAATTTGGTTGTAATAATTTATTTGTTTTTTTTTAATTATGCGTGAATGGCATGCTCTTGAAATTCTACTCTCTTATTTGGAGATACTTGGAGAAACTCATCACTAATTTTTAGAGCGGTTATGTATTGTTTTTAGTAAAACATCTCCTACTTTCAGTAGTTCCGATGCTATTTGATCCAATCCCTGTGATTTATTGTTTTTCAATTTGGCTACTGATGTTCTAATCTTGGTTATTGTTGGTGGGCACTTATCTCTGATGTCTGCTTGGTCTAATTGTATATCTCCTCCAGCCGCCAATATGACAGAAGACAGAAGTTTTACGTTTTTGCGGCTTTGCGCAAATTGGCGCATTTTTTGTACAAGAAAATGCAGCGGACACAAATTCTTGTATCGTTTCTGATATAAGAAACTATACGCCTGTATGACACTATCCATTTTTTTTTGTTATATCAGAAACGATATAAGAAATGATACAAGAAAATGCATAGTGTCATACGGCCTTTAGATTTTATATTAAAACTGTAAATTTGTTCAGGAAAAAGAAGCAGTTAGGTTAATGATTTTATCAGGTGCTTATTATAAACTTGTTATTTATTTATATATTTGTTTTTATTTATTTATAACTTTATAAATATTTATTTTGGAGCTATAAGCCGATCCTAGGGTGAAAACCCAGAAATATTTAGATAGATTGTCACCAAATTATGTCAGTTGTCAGAAAATCGTTCCAACATCAGTTTCCAAATTACCGTCGTCAGACAATACAAATGAACATGCGCATTAAAAACGGTACAGGTAGTTTCGTGACGGTTTCCGGGCCGTATAAAAATTGCATGTTGGAACAAACCTATTATAATTTTCTAATTTTAAAATCTGACAGATTCCTATTATGACAACTAAACCAAAAGAAATAACTTAAATATGTAAAATGACCAGAAATATCTCGCGAATAGTGTGTTTGAGTATTAAGTCATGAAATCAAAAGGTGATAATGAAACAAACGAAATTTGTGACGACCAAGTATCAGCGGTATAACCAGGGCCGGCCCCTGGTTAGCACAACTTTTTTTGACATTTAAAAAAAGTGGACAGCCACTTGTTTTAAATAGAAGAAATAATAAATTATTCTTTTAATATAAAAAATTAACACTATGTACAAGAGCGACAGATATACAACTGCAAAAACGAGAATTAAGTAAGTGAAATAACAATGCCAATATTCATTCCTCTTCCCTCCCGCCTACCCAACCCTTCCATGTTTTTTGTTGTGGTGCAGTAGCACCGACTGCAGAGAATTTTTTAGCAAGGGAGGCCAGCCTCCGATCTATGAATATCAACGTTACGAGCTACGACAAACGTCGCGAAGCCGCGTTGATGAGCCAGGTTAGCATCCTACCAATTGTAAAAGAAAACAAGGCTCAAAGAACCGATATAAAGCCACGGAACCTAAGATGACGAACCACGCAAAGAAAAGGAAAACAAGAAGGAAAAATAAGCCCCCAATCAGATTAGTCCACATTACTTCTTTTAACGACAAAGACCAAGAGATATTAGAAGAACTGATACCTGCCGTTTTTTCGACCATAAGCTACAGTACAAATATACATTTGAAAACTCCAGGGGGCACAAATCTATGATTGACTTTATAGTTACTAATAGAAAAATCCACCCAAAGTAAATTCTAGATATCCGAACCTTAAACTCAGCAGACGCAGTGAGTGAACACAACCTAGTACTAGCAAAAATAAGAATGAAAATAACACCGAAACATTTTCTACAGGAAATCACCGAAGAAAAATTCAATGTAGAATCACTGCAAAACGACTCTACCAAGGGAAATGTACCAAAGGAGGCTAGCACAGAAGATACAGCTGAAACAAATAGACGACACCGAAGATAAAAATGCGAGCTGGAAGAAAATTAAAAACAATATTGAAGAAGCAGCAACAGAAGCTCTAGGAAAACGCAAAGTCATACTGAACAAAAGAAACAACAACAATACACCATGGTTCAGAAAATAAATGTAAAGAGAAACGAGAGGCCTACACGAAGTTCTTAACGTGCCCCATCCCTAAGGATATTGGAGGACATCATGGCCCATTTAACTCTATCTGTACACGAAGTACAAAACATTAAATACTCCAGAATCCCGAGACACTTATAGAAGAATACGAAATGAAACAAAGCAGTTGGTAAGAACAAAAAATGAACACTGGGAACAGTTTACAAAAAGGATGGAAAGCGACTAGGGTACATAAAAACAAATATGTAAATCCATAAGAAACCAACGCAAAGAAGTGACAGAATTGAAGGAATACAATAACATACCAGCAAACGAATGGGAAAGATACCTGACGGAACTGTTTAAAGGAAAGGAAAATAATACAATAACGTACCTGAATTAAGACACGAAATAGAAATCAGTTTTCAGGAAGTAGAGATAGCCATAAATTCACTCAAAAATAGAAAGTCACCAGGACCAGACGGAATAACCAACAATAACCAAGATTCTAAAACACGGAGGAGAGAAATATAATCCTAGAGATGACAATACTTGTACAAAAACTAATATTGCACTGCGAGATACCAGACGCATGGAGAAACAGCATAATGATACCAATGTTCAAGAAATTAGATAAAAAAAAACCCAACCAATTATAGAGGAATAAATCCACTTAAAACAAACCAAAAGCAACCTATAAGCTTACCACAACAGACAGTCCACACACCAATAAAATAACCACTATATCAGATGAGCAACAGGGATTTCAGAATCCGGAAGATCCTGCGTGGGACGCGGTATTTTGTACTAAGACAAATCACAGAAAAGGCCATAGAGTACAATAAACCAACATATCTGTATAAAAGAAACATACCAATCAATATTATACAAACCATCGAAAACATCTACTTCCATAATCCAATACATGCAAAGATAAATGGAAAACTAACACATTGTATACCAGTGCAGAGCGGAATCAGGCAAGGTAACTTACTAAGCCCACTTCTCTTTAATATAATAATGGACGAAATAATACAAGCAGTATGTAAAGGCCATAGTTACAGAATGGGGAACAAAGAAATCCAAATATGTTATGCAGACGACGCCGCATAAATCACCGAGACAGAAGGCGAGCTCCAAAGATTAGCAACAATTAGACCTATATTAATATACACGGCGGAGACAATACCCTGACACATCTAAAACGAGACGACTACTAGAAACAACAGAGATGAAAATACTCTGATGAATATCAGGAAAAAGTCTGTTGGATAGGGAGAAAAAGCGAAAACATAAGAATAGAGATGGGTGGGATGGGATAGACAATATAGAAGACATAAATGGATGGGTGACAAAACAGAAACAGGAGTGGAACGAACACATTCGTAGAATGGCAGAAAATAGGGTAATACGAATAGCACGAGATAAGTCACCAAATGGACGAAGTATTGATAGACCAAAAAAAAGATAGTGCGATAATTTAAACAATTTATTAGGCTAGTATTGAAGAAAAACAATGTTTTTAAAGCCTACATGCAAGAAGGAAGAAGAAGAAGTCGCGAAGAGAGCAATATAGTTTCCCAATACGTACACTATACTCGATGGATAAATGTACTTTTTGTCGCTTCGCCTCATAAATCGCAGAATTATGTAGGTAAGGGAGAGCAGCCTCGCTTACTGAGTTTCTTACTTATATTGTACGCTCGATGATTTTATCAGGTTATTAAATAAAGCGATAGGTTATTTTTTTGGTATGATTTTGTTTTTTAGATAGTGTTTGGTTAATTTATATCTCGTATATTTGTATTTGTGTTGTTGGTTCTTGTAAGGCTATTTTTAAAATTTCTGTACCGTTGTTTGTTGTTTATATAAAATGGATGAGTTCAAAACGAAATCAAAACACTAAAGATATAAACGACCGGCTGTTCACGAATAATTTTAATTCTTTAAGTATAGATAATCAAGCTTATATTAATAAAATCTTAGAAAGACCATAGCCAATCGCAGATAATCGTCAAATTCGATTTAATGTAAATTGGTACAATAAATGTGACTGGTTAACCGGGTGTACAACGCGGTCTAGAATAGGATATTCAGATTTAAAAAAATTACCCCTCGTTCAACTGAAAAGCCATTGCAAATCTAAAGCTACAGCACAAAAAGAGACTATAATTTACTTACAATAATCAGGTTTTGGAAAACGGATAAGATGGACACTAAATAGAAAAATAATGGAATAACCATATAAGCAGAATGAGGGAAACCCGTGTCGTAAAAATAGCAAGAGATAGAATTGCGTCACAAATTCGTCGGCAGAATGCATTATTGCTCAACAATATTGGAAAAATCATTTTAAAGTCGTCTACTTAAAATGTATAATATATATCTGAATTGTCATCACACATACACATGTTAAAATGATGAATATTATAATTATATGAATTATATAAAAAAGATGTTTTTAAAAAAGTCTCCGAAAATGTAATACTAACCAAGTTGTAAACAGTTAATTGTTTGATCTTGTAGGCAATAGCCTGTGCTTTTCGTTGAAAAAATGTTTTTTTGTTTTATTTCTTTGTGGTGTCTCATGGGTTTAGTGATGTGGGTTTAATGTAGTTATATTGACTCTCTTAGTATTGGCAACCAAAGCCTGATATATTCCTGCTGGATGGGGGGGGGTAATAGTTGCTACGAACATTTTTTCTTCATTAAATAGGAATGAGAGCTGCTTCGCTGACTTTTTTTTTTCATGTAATGTTTCTTTTCATGACTATCAATGCATCTTCCATTTATAACTCTATGCTCATTTATCCCCATGCATATTTGCATATCTGAGATTTTGTCCTACGTCTCTGTTTTTATGTATGTTTTTCATGCTCAATCTTATCCTGACACTTACTGTTGTTGCGGTTTCTCCACACATAGATGCAATTTCTTTGATCGATCTTTAATGTTTTTTTTTTTTGTTTTTGGATAGGAGAGATACTCCGTGGTAAGAGGTCCGTTTTGGGATGTGGTTTTGATGTACTTACTCTGATAAGCCCTGTTCATATGGGTATTGTTGTCATCTTCGAATCCCTTCTTGTGAGTGTTTATGGATTGCTTGTGGTATTTTTTTGTTTGCTTTCGTCAATGTTGTGGAAATTTTCTGGTGTTTATCTAATGACCAATAGATAGTCATTTTTTGTTAAAATCTTTGTTAGCAGGTTTTTTCTTCCTGAAATACATTTTCATTAAAGCAGTTTGTTTCCAGGCTCCTAACTTATAATGATTTGATTCATTCCTTTCTTGATTTTTACCTTGTGGTTTGTGGTAATTTAAGTATTTGTTGGTGTAGGTTGGTTTTCTGTAGTGTCCTCTTTTGTGATTAACAAATCTAGAAAAGGAGGTGATGCGTTGTTTTCTTTTTCCATTTTGAACTTGATTGATTCTTCTTATTGTTGGATGTAGCATCTGATGTGCATTAAGCAATACGATGTGTTACCTGCCCTAGGTATATCATTTCTAAAGGTAAGATATTTTTCTATTCCTTGAAAAACAAGATGTAGTAAAACAGTTTTTATGGGAAAAAATAATTTATTAGGTACTACTTAAATATCTACAGTTTCTTATCATCGTTATTGCACGTATTAATTACTATTTAACTGGGAATAAGCCACATTTAAAGGTTAAAAATACTTTATTGACGTTGTCAATTTCGACTTCGGAAATCGTTCTCAAAATACAAACAGTAAATTCACTGTTTGTATTTTGAGGACGATTTCCAAAGTTAAAATTGAAACGTCAATAACGTATTTAACCTTTAATTGTGACTTATTCCCAGTTAAATGTATTAATTTAAAATGCCACAAGAAAATTGCTTTTAGATACAATGTTATTGCACGTGGCAAAATGCTATTAAATATAAAATAACTCTTTGGAAAATGCTCTGTCTCCATATATGTACAATATTTAAATTATATTATGAATAATAAATAGTTGTTAGTTCTTCTGCATTAATTACAGTTTTCGTTGTTCGACCATGAGGAGAAGTAACAGGCGTTAGGAAATACTGTCCTTCGAAATTGGAACATTCAAAGTCTTCTGTACGAACTGTCCTCTAAAAAATACAAAAATATGTGTTAAAGACAGAAATAAAAGAAACATACAATGCTGAATCAGAAGAATAAATTAAATACTTACATTTGTTTTTTTTGTGCGCTATACAAAATGTACAGACTTGATGTCTGTTTAAAGTATTACTGCTGTCTTCTTTTAAAAATCGTAAACAAGGTTGATCTATTGGGCCTAAAATTTACATAAAATTAAAATTTGTCCTATTAGTCCAAAAACAGTCTTTGAAAAAAATCATATCTATTTTATTCTCACAGATCATATAATATGAGGATAGCAATGAGGGGTTAAGCTTGTTAAGAATTGTTTTTGTTCATCTCTCTTTATAAGTGCGACTGGGGATAGAAACTATATTTTTCCCATTTTATCACATATATAGAAAACTAGATATTTCAGGTAAACATTTTATCTATAAAACATAAAATAAAATATTTTGTTGAAGATAGATAGATAACTTAAATGTTACGTATGGTACGACTGCAGTGGGTTACAGAATAGAGGGGTTTAAAAAAATTAATTGCTTATAACTCTACCAAATTCATATTTTTAACGGCATAATTATTAAGCCTAGTTTACATGAGTCGAGAAGTCGTTTAAGTTTTCTGTGCAAGTAACTTTAATCAAGGATTCAAGTTTGAAGGGCATTCAAGTAACATACACGAATGAAAATAACTGTACTTGAACAGCGGTTCAGAGAAGTGAGAAAAATGAAGCGAAAAAGATCGTATGTTCGAGCACCAGACTTTTTATGTTCTGCAATTTTAGCACATTCCTGGTAATATGTCGTACTCCGATCTTGTATTTTGTTCTTCACATCTTGAGGAATAAAATCATTCATAAATTTTCATTTTTTGTTCTATTTTATTAATAGTTAATTACTATTTAAATGGGAATAAGCCACAATTAAAGGTTAAAGTAAGTTTATTGACGTTTCAATTTCACTTTGGAAATCGTTCTAAAAATACAAACATTAGTTAATTATTTGAATTGAAATAATTAAAATGAGGTTGAATGCTCGAATAAATGAACTTTGAAAAATAAGGCTATATCGAGCACAAGTTAATTTAATCTAGCCCAAGTACTTTCGCTTAAAATAGCATCTTCAGGGGCATTTCGTCAAATATAAAACTATCCGGCAAGCGTAGAATGTGGAAACATTAATAATGACAAAAATTGGTACAAAACACTACACTAAATACGAGAACAAACAGTTTAAAATTACTATTAAAAGATTCTACGCTACATTCATTTGTCAGTATCTGAAGGGATAATTTAATTAAAAAAAAATGTTAATTAAACAAATTTTGTTTTTTTTTTTGTTACTTGGTGAACAAATTCTTCTAATAATTTAATTTTATCTGACTCATTATATTGACCAATTCCGACATAACATAATACATGGTTTTAAAGTAGAACGACGTTTAAAATGATATTGCTAATATTGTTGAGCTTGCGTTCCTTGGACGACTTAACTTACTAAGTATAGTTATATTCGATTACAGGAAATCAACTTTTTCTTGAGAATATCCGTCAGAAAAAATCATAGCATGTTATTGTCATCATAGCATAGTTACTGTCATCATGGCATGTGTTTGTTTTTAAAAAGACAATTAAAATTCTCCTGTTAGTGATTCCATAGTAAATTATGAGGGAAAACCCAGCAAAAAACCTCATAATACTATCTCGACATGGTAATTATTTAGTTTACTTACAATAAACACCAAATTCTGATTTTATATGTTTGTTACTTAAAAAACATAAATGATGTATCATCTATATGGTACTGACTTACTAATACTGGTATTTTCTTTTTAATCACTTCCTCTTTTAATATGGGTAACTAGATCCTACACATTCAGAAGGAAACATGGGTAGACTACTTTTGATCCCTGTTTGATAAAGGTGACGATGATTAACCACCAACACCAGACGACAAACGAAGAAATAAATATTGAGGAGGAGGATGTAAAGGAAGCATTAAGGAAATTAAAAGATAGAAAATCACTAGGAGAGGACAGAATACCGAACGAACTCCTAAAGTACGGAGGACCAGATCTGACCAAACAACAATTAAAACTAATCCAAAAAATTAAAACAGAATTTCTCAAGAATGGAGATCAATCATCCTAATACCTCTCTTCAAAAAAGGAGACAAATCGGACCCGAAAAATTACAGAGGAATTAATTTATTAAATACTAAAATTAACAATCAAAGTGATAACAAATAAATTGAATGAAATTATAACACTACAAAGAACAACAAGGTTTTAGGTCGGAAGATCATGCACCGACGCTATATTTATAAAATACGGCAAGTGCAAGAGAAATCATTAGAATACAACCAACCGGCATATCTATGTTTCCGTGGACCTTACAAAGGCATTTGACCGGGTCAAATTAAAGACGTTACCCACTTACTGTATGCAAGAGAGATACCTATAGGAATAATTAAAACGATCGAAAATATCTACCAAAACAACACAATAAAAGTAAAAGTAGAAGAAGAACTATCCGACACTATTGAAGCTGGCAATGGGATAAGACAGGGAGATTCCCTGAGTCCTCTATTGTTCAACCGGATTATGGATATGGCTACCTAAATGAAACAATATGGAGAAATAAAAATATCGGGAAAGAAACGAAAGGCAGAATTTACAAAACAGGCATCAGACCAATAATGATATACTCTGCAGAAACAACTCATGACAAAAAGAGACAAAAAGAATGTTAGAAACAGCAGAGATGAAAACACTTGGAAAAATTTATGGTAAGACACTATGGGACAGAGCTAGAAGTACAGATATACGACATAGATGCAAGGTGGAGAACATCAAAAACTGGGTAAGAAATAAAAGAGTAAATGGAACGATCATATAAGCCGAATGACAACAAATAGAGTAGTAAAGACGGCAAGAGACGGTTCCCCAATAGGAAGACCACGAAAACGATGGAATGACAACTTCCTGGAGGCACATTGAAAACCATGTCTATATAAAAAGAAGAAGAAGATCCTACTATATTCTGCCAAGGAATTTGCGACACAATTGGTCTCATTTAGCATAATTAGCCCTATAATGAACCCTATGTTCATCATCCCATGCGTGTTTACATATTTGAGATCTATCAAATTTTCTGACGGATATTCTCAAGTTTTCATGTAATCGAATGAACTATCTTACAAGTAAAGTCGTCCCAAGAACGCAACTCAACAATATTGGCATCATTTTAAAGTCGTCTACTTTAATTGTACTTGTCAATACAAATGAGTCAGATAAAATTAAATTATTAGAATTTTTCACCAAGTAACAAAAAAATAAAATTTGTTTAATTTACTAATGTTTGTATTTTGAGAACGCTGTCCGAAGTGGAAATTGAAACGTTAATAATCTTACTTTAACCTTTAATTGTGACTTATTCCCATTAAATAGTAATTACTTTAAAATGCCACAAGAAAATAGCTTCAGAACATTATTAATAGTGAATCTCTCATTTTTTTTATTTCTATACGGATTACTAGATATATCTCAAATACATATTTGTTCTTCGTACAACTCCACAAACTTTAATATTGTCTCATCGTTCCATTTATTTTTTTTTTTTTTAATAAAATTCAAATACTTAAAAATTGAGTTACGACCACTCTTGACAGCTAGTACGTATTTACTTAAAGGACTGTTTACATGAAGCAAGTGTGAAGTAGGCCGTTTAAGTATGGTTCTACCACCACTGCGTCCGTAGTGGGAGGCGCCCTATTGAACAAGTAAGTTGGATGGCTTTCAAGTTACTTGACTTGCTTGGCTGCTTGTTCAAGTTTTTGATCAAGAGCTTGAGTATTTGTCGGCACGATTCAAGTTACTGGTTTCCAGTTAGTTGCTTAAGTAATTTAAACATCTACTCCACTCATGTCAACCTTACGTTACTCTTTATGGCCGAACCTGTTACTTTGTCAAGAAATATGCCAGAGGCTCCGTTCAAAAGATTATTACCAATTTTATCTACATAGTTTTCCTATTTTTTATCCACGAGTTGCAACAATTTTTAGAGCTTTGCTTATAGGTGTGGATACTTATACTTGTACTTACCTATAATAGGTGTACAATAGATGAATTTGCAAAATTCTAACTTGTAAGAAAAATATAAGCACCCAAATAATTGCCAATTGATTTTTGCTCCCTTACGCATGCAGGAAATAAAAGTTTGTAAAATAATTTCATTTCTGCAAAAAATAGGAAACACACAATGTTGCTTCGTTCAATTTAGATTAAGCTATGTAAAGAAATACCTTTGTGTAGTAATAAATCTTCATATTAATATTTGGTATTAGTTTTTAATAATAAACAAAAGAAATAATGAAAAAATCTTAGAAAAAGATCCCTATTCTTAGTCGTAGTATGGTAAAAACTTGAATTTTCTAACATTTTGTAAGAAATTTAATTTGATTTTGTATTCTATACAAAACTCTTTTCACTAATACATATTTATAGTTTTCTAGATAAATGATACGATATTGGCAAAAACGTAGTTTCGCCACGTGAAATAATGGCTACGTCATGTGAAAAAACGTTACTCCTATAATATAAATATTTATATTAAGAAAAAAATATATTGATAAAATTACCCCATCATTGCCGACCTAGTCATAGATAGCTAGCAATAAAACCACATATCGATGGCTTAAACTGTAAGTGGCTAACTCCACTTGAAATTATATTATTGTGCCATCTATAAAAAAAATCTGCCGTTTTTATGATCTTAAAATACCTAATATATTTACAGTTTTCTTTATCTTAAAAGTAAAAAAGTTATACTCTATAGTGACGGGTGCACTTAAAAAAATAGAATTTCAACCATGAGTAATACGTTATTAAATTTAGCCATAACAAATAATTTAAAATAGAACAAAAGTTCTTGAACGTTCTAGAAGTCTAGAAAAAATCCTGAGCCTTATAGTGTCAATTATCTAACCCATGACCTCAAAAACTTCAAGGATGTAATTTTTTGAAGTCAATAAGACCTTGAAAGATGAAAGATGACCCCAAGGTATGTTTAAATTATGCGTTGTATATTTTTAGTGTGATGAATTTTCTTTTTAGGTTACAGATTTGCGTGCCCTGCAATATAATCCCGATGGAAATATTTAATATAATTTAAGATTCTGGGTTTTCAATTGTAACATTATTATTATTTATATTTGTAAAATCTCTAAATGTCACTTTGTACCCTCCAACCAGTTTTTATTGTCTCCTGTAAAATTTACATTATTGGAGTTAGCTTGTTTACACTTTAAGCCATCGGTAATATAAAAATAATTCACATATATTATGTGAATTATTTTTTCATAATATTCTTTTTTATTGCTTAGTTCTCGGTCTATATTGCTTTTACTATATTTTTAACTGCATCATATAATACTAATCAAATAATACTCGAGCTACTGGATATATGTTTTTTAAATAATCTTCTGACATTTTTTGATAGTATCTTTTATTTCTTTTAAAACCATTTTTTATAAGGTCTGGTTAGTCTAGTATTGAAACAAGTTCCTTTAATAGAGTTGAACATAAGGATGTTGTACCGGTTTAGTGGCTGCCGTAGCTGTGCAGCTAAGATATTGGCTTTCTAAGCCTGAGCACACGAGTTCGATTCGGGACACCCACAACGACATTTTTTTCGAGCCGTTCACTGTGCTTCGGAAGGCACGTAAAGCCTTCGGAACCTTTGGTCTAGTGTGTGTATCGACACTAGTTATCTGAAAGAATCTCCCCGGCAAAGATGTCATATGTTATTATTATTTTACAGGTTTAGACTAACGGGTTTGGAACAAGAGAGGCATTGTTTGGTATGAACGTACTTGCCCAAAGATGTCGTGATATATCTGTAGACATCGACTGTTGTTTTATTAACTTCCGAAAGACATTTGATCGTATTAAACGCTCTATATGATCGAAGTTCTAAGAGACATTGGCTTGGGTGGCCGAGACGAATTTGTATTGGAATCAAACAACATCAGTTTTAGTAGACGGTTTGGAATCATAGGCACATGCTCTTAATATAGAGGAGTACAGCAGGTATGCCTCTTATCGCCCATGCTCTTCAACATTTACTCCGGAAGAATTTTTAGAAATGCACTTTCTGAGAAACAAGAAGGAATTGTGAATGGTGAAATTATCAATAATTTGCGATATGCGGACGACACAGTACTCTTAGCATCTACTCAAGAAGATCTGCAAGCATTACTTACACTGTCGTTAAGAGCTGTATGGAAGCAGGTCTGGATCTGGAGCATGCGGAAAACCAAAATACTCGTAATAAGTAATCAACGGAATATAAGATCGTCTATATATGTAAATAGTACCAAACTTGAGCAAGTTGATCAAATAGTTTACCTTGGATATCAGTTAAACTGTAACTGAGTGAGTCATGGTTAAATTAGATCCAGAGTTGAACAGGCCAGAGACGCTTTTAGAAGGTTATCCAAGGTATTATGTAATAGAGACCTAAAATTGGCATTGCGATTACCGTCTACTTCGCTGTTACGTGTTCTCGGTGTTACTTTGTGGTGTTGAGTCTTGGACTGTGAATAAAAATTATCTAAATCGTCTTGAAGCTTTTGAAATGTAGTGGTATAGAAGAATTTTAAAAGTTTCTTGGCTGAAGAAGATTCGAAACTCTATAATACTAGAACGTCTCAGCAATACTACTAAAGTTATAAAAAGCATTAAAAAGAGAAAGCTTGAGTACTTCGGACATGTAATGAGATGTCCCAATATATAGATTGCTATAAAATATGCAAGGGAAAAGGCAAGCAAATGCATTCCAGGACGAGAAAGACTTCAAGGTTGAAGCACTTGTGAGATTGGCAACGTATTGATACAAGCATGCTATTTAGAGTGGCAGTGAATAAAATTAAGATATCTGTGATCATACCCAACATTCTGAAAGGACATGATACATGAAGAAGAAGGTTTAGACTACATATCATTAACATTTAATTAGACTTCAAGGTTTCTATCTCTTTTTTGTCCTTCTACTGTTTTAGCTCTTTCGTTGTTTCGATTTCATGTCTGTCGAGGTTTATTCCTTTTATCCTTCCTTGTTATTCTGACTTATCAGCTTCATTAACCCAATATTGGAAATAAGCCTCCTTTAATTTTTTCCATTTTTGTTGTCTTTCTCTCTATTTCATCCAAACTGGGCCTGCAAATTATTTGAGATCATCTGTCTACTATATTTGTGGTCTTCCTTGTCTTTTTGTTTTCTTAAGGTATCCACTGATTAGATTATTCTACTTTCACCTTGGTATCTGATGTTTTCTCCTGCAAATTACCACTTTAGTTTTGATAATTCTCCTGAGTCATTAGCTACTTTAGTTTTTATTCTATTTCATGACATTTGTATTTTCTTTATTCTATCATCATTTGCCTTTATAAAAGATCCTATTTGTTATCCATCTATAAGATCAGGAGGCCCACAATGATTAAAAACTCTTATTTGTATATAAGTATTGGTGGTATTTTTTTTTAATAATATAACTTGATTTATAAAGCGCCACCAAAGCAAGGCTTATTTTCTTCTATTGATTCTTTATACCTATTTTCTTTGTATATTTTATTTAATTGACATAAATATAGTTATGTATACAAATTGAGGAGCTCTATTATATGTTGTTCTATTCTAATAGCTCTATCGTTTGTATAAGTACCACATGTCTTTTGCTGTGTTAAGTTTATGAAAATTATTAACTATATTTAGTTCAATTTATTGTTTATACAACATAATTTTACCAATCTCCATTGGAGTAAGCTTCTTACAATTTTATATCATTGACTGCTACATATTTTTTTGAGGTAACACACTTAATAACTTTCCATTGGATGCTATATTTTTCATATTGTTCTTTTTAGATGAACTGATGATACTATCAAATTGGATAGCGAAACGTTATCAATAAATAGATGAAGTAGCCATCATCTCTGTCTTTTTTCTCCACTTTTGACCGAAAAAACCCGCCACTCTTCGAGTGATCCTTAATTTTATATATATATATATATATATATATATATATATATATAAACGGAACATGTATGTTGGTCCCGGAGTTCATATATTTGTTTTGAAATCATTGAATTTATCAAACTTATTCATAAGTAAAAATAACCTAGAAATGTTAATAGTTGTAAATACCTGCCATTAGTTGTGTTCCTAAATGTGAAATATAACTAGATGCTAGTCGAAGAGTTTCGATTTTACTTAATTTTCTATCCTTTGGTTCTGTTGGTATGAGAGTTCGTAGTGTTGAAAAAGCTATGTTCACACTAAAAAAAAGAAAGCAGAGTTAGTAGCTGTCATTGGGTCATATAAAATGTATATATCTTAAACCAAATTCAAACGAATACTACTAAATATCATCATGGACAGAAGAATAAAAGTAGATTAATATGTTTTGGAACCAAATATTTATCGAATTTTTTTTAATGAAGACATTTATTTATACACTAACTAGTTATCATAACTTACAACTCAATACTTAACTAAAATATACAATCGAATTATATGCAGTTGCCCATTCTGCTTTAACAGATGCAAATTTTTTCGACAGTAAAGTCCAAAAATGTTTTATTGGGCAAGCCTGCCTTCCTAGACAGTAAAGTCCAAAAATCTTTTATTGTGCAAGCCTGCGACAAGGCGACAAGTTTGGAAGATTTGAAGATATTGTTATTGAAAACAAAAGGTGTGATGTTGCCGAAGCCAGTTTTGGGTTCTCAAAGGTTCTATACTGAAGATCATCTTTTAGTACCAGGCTATTCCATTGGCTTCAGTAGGACTTGACTTCTGGACTACATGTAATAATATCTTGCCAAGAAGGTCTCTCACTTCAACGCAACCAATCCAATACTCTTTTTATGCATGGATCATCTCACGGGGCAAAGTCATTCCTCTAATTTAAGACAGTGATTACAATTTGCAATGCATGAACATCTTGAAAGGGCATCAGCTTTAATTGAACTCTTCCAGTCCTAGCAATTCTCTCCTCGTAACGTAGTAGTTTCTTTCTGGTTTCGACAAGACTTTGCTAAAGTAAGCGATGACTTTTTGTCCACCCAGCAACCACTGTTGCTGGGCTCGATATTCAAAACAAATTTCCTGCCTGTCTCGGGTAGCTTAAAATCGGTGTACTGACCAGATCCATTTGTAGTTGTTCAAAAGCTTTTTGGCACTCTTCAATCCATGCATATTCATTGGCTTCTTCTGTCAACTTTGTTAATGGCTTGGAGATGTTGCAAATCCTTTGACAAAACGTCGGTAGTATGTTCATAGACCAAGAAAACTTCTAATTTCGTGTTTATCTCTTATTACTGGTCAATCCTTTGCTGCAAGCTTTCAGGATCAGATGTTACACCATTACTCCCTACAATATGTCCCAAATACTTCACTTCTCGTCGAAACGTGTGACATTTCTTTCGACTTAACTTCAAATTCGCTGCTCGCGATCGTTGAAAGACTTCTGTCAGATTGTTGGCATGTTCTTCGAAGGATTTTCCAACCACAATTATATCATCCAAATAGACCAGGGATGTTTTCCATGTTAGACCTCTTAAAACTGCCTCCATTAATCTTTCAAATGTGGCAGGGGCATTACATAAATCAAAAGGCATAACCGTGAATTGCCAAAGCCCTGATATTATCGAGAATGCGGTTCTCTCCTGATCAGCTGGCTTCATGTTTACGTGCCAATATCCACTTTTTAGATCAAGTGTGGAGAACCAACGAGAAACGGAGACATACTCTCTGTATCTCTCCGGTATATCTCGAACCTTGCTTATTTTGAACATATTTTTGCTTTAATAACTTTGCAAAAATTTACGCTTACATAAGTATTTAAATGATAGGTTTGTTAATAAATAAAGTTTTCTTGGCTTAAATAATTGAATTTTTCTTTTTTGTATCACAAGCCTTTATGGCTTTGATAAGATATAACGAAACCCTATATCTACACAATCGATTCCAAGCATAATCAAATGCTTATTTTTTACTTACATTCACAAAAAAAGCAATATTAATACACCTGGTATCAACTTACATGCAATCATAAAGTTTAAATCAGAATTAAATGTTTCTGGTTAGTTAACTTTTTGTTCTCAATGCCTCATTTACAAGAAATTTCAAAAATGACGATTTACGTCATTTTAATGTGGCATATTCTTGAAAAATGTCAATAAATGGCATATTTGTTAGACTAAAAATGTGTAATTTTTAAACCCAAATTATCTAACCGTTTAAATTAGATTAATGATTCTTAATAAAAGAAAAACAAATCTTTGGTTACTAAAATGTGGAATATTTTGTTAAAATACTGGATACTATTTATATCGGCATATTTTTGTATTATAGTTTTATTATTTTCGATAATGTTTTTCAGGCAGATATCCATTTTGGCAATTTGTTGTTTAAAGGACAATATTTTGTTACCACATGAAGAGAGAAGTGAAATTCAGATTTCAAAAATTTATCCTAAAAGGAAGTATCATATAAGCAAGTACAAAATGTAAAGTAGTTTTAGACATCTAAGCAAAAATTATATGTTTACCAACAATTTTTTTATTTTTAAATCTACGTAATTTTGTTACATCACTATTATACAATTCAAGATATTTGTTAAGTACAGCGATCTCCAAGATTATTACATCAGTAGAGATGGCAACCCACATCTCTGGTAAAGCACCCTGGAAAAGAGCCCATTTCTTTTTCTGTTATATTTGGGATGTCCTGCACGTTTTTGTGCTATTTCTGTATTATCCATGTAAGTATATCCAGAGTAAGAGTGGTTCTGAAACTATCTCCTGGCAGAAAGAAATCACAGTTCTTAAAGTTATTAAAGATGACCCAGCAAACCAATGGACCTTCTAAAGACCAATTGACAAAAGAATACGGGCCTAGTGTACGAGTTTACCAACTTAATATAGAAGGTATAATAAGTAAAGCAAAATGCCAAATTCTACACAAATTATTGAAAGAAAACGATATTGACCTGATCGCAATACAAAAAACACATACAGTAAATGAAGTTCAATTGAATTTAAGATTAAAAATGCCAGGCTATGATCTACTTGGTGCTATCTATGATAGAGCATACGGTGTAGCAACGTAATCTACTATCAAGAACTACTATCAAAAACAACATCCACGAGGTAACTGTGAAAATCGATGATATTACAATAGCCAATATTTATGAGCCCCCTGACCTGGCCTACACATGTCCTTAATTACTACAAACACCCAGCCATATACGTAGAGGATTTAAAAAATCACCATAAGATGTGGAAGTACTCTAAAAATGACAAAAATGTCCCGTCCCTTTTGGAGTGGTGAGAAGAACATGGTATCCACCTCTTTTTTGACGTTAAGGATAGAGGCACTTTTAAATGTGCAGCTTGGAAGAGGGAGTACCTGATCTTTGTTTTCTTACCACTTACTACTCTACCACATTAAGAAAGGTCATGTCTAATTTTTCCCATAGCTATCTCCTCCCTAATATCGTCAAAATCGATATTAGCATTACAATTATAAGATCGTTTCCACGCCCCAGATGGAGTTTCAGGAAAGCTTACTGGTAGCAAGAATAACATTAGTAAAAGCCAAATTCCTAGAGGGTACCGCAAAGAGTATATTCCTGGATGATCTGAGGAGAGCGAAAAACTGTATGAAAAATTCTGTAAAGATGGAAGGCGGGAAATTGCAGAAGAATTACTCTGAAATTACGCGACTGAGACAGTTGAAAATCTAGATTTCAAAAACTCGAGTAGACAACCCTGGCAAAATAGACTGAGACAGTTGAAAATCTAGATTTCAAAAACTCGAGTAGACAACCCTGGTCAATGCTTCGAAAACTAGGAGGCAGGAACCCCCCAAACCACACCCTACCCGATCGCCGAACCCATCTACTAATACTAAACTAAGTGGCGTCCAACATAATATCTAACTTAACAGCACCCCAAAATCGCTAGAGCGTAGGCGCAAAATTTCGGGCCAATGCTTTTTAAATTCATTATTTTTTTTTCGCATCCTGAGAAAACTAATTAATATTTTTGAAAAATTTAAACGCAGAATGCAATAATACATTATTACCGAGGGCCGAAAGTCCCTAAAAACTTCTATAATGTTTGTTTTAATAAGTTACAGGGTGAAAAGAAAGAGAAAATTTAGTGTGATTTTTTTATTTCAAATATTTCATTTAAAAAACTTTTTGTTTATTCTAAGGGACTTTCGGCCCTCGGTAATAATGTAATCTTTCATTCTGCGTTTAAATTTTTCAAAAATATTTGTTACTTTTCTGAGGATTCGAAAAAAAATGAATGCATTTAAAAATCATTGGCCTGAAATTTTGCGCCTACGCTCTTAATGTTAAAAAAGACCTCAAAAACTTAAAATCTACTTGTCCACTTGAAACACAGTATTCCAACCTTTTCACCTGTGAAGTAATCACGGAAGCTTTGAATTAAATAAAAACAGGAAAAGCCACTGGCTCTGATGGCATTCATACTGAAGTTCTAAAGCAAAGTGTCAAATTTACTAGGAAATGGCTTGCAAATTTCTTCGCCGACATTTTTCAGATGGGAAATGTTCTTCATCAACGAAAAAGAGCAAAAATCGTCGCCATTGCAAAATCAGGGAAATCTTACGATTTACCAAAAAATTACCGTCCAATTTCACTTCTTAGTATGATCTTTAAAGTTTTTTAAATAATACTATATAAAAGAATTAGCCAAACAATACTCCATATATCTGTGGAACAAGCAGGATTTAGACCAAATCGCAGTTGTACAGACCAAGTCCTAGAATTGACTAACTACATAGAAATAGGCTTTCAAAAATAACTAAAAATATCTACTGTTTTCATTGATTTAACATCGGCGTACGATACCGTATGTAGACAAGGTGTAATATATAAATTAATGCGAGCGATTTCATGCAGAAAGATCACTTATGTCATTAATGCTATGCTATGCAACGGAAATTTTCAGTTCATCATCAGCGATAGTATCCAAACTAAACTGAACAACGGCCTCCCGCAAGGATCTGCGCTGGCCGCCTTACTCTTTGGCCTTTATACAGCAGACATGACCGAAACCACACCAAAGGAATTTGGATACCCAGACAACTGAGCGCTTGCCGCGAGCCATAAGGAAATGGGGACTACTGAGTAAAAATTAACAAACGACCCAACCCTCGGAAGATATTTTCGCCACTGGAGATTACAACCCAACCCCACCAAGACGGAAGTATCGTACTTTCATTTAAACAGCAGAAAAAACTC